AAACTTTTTGATTGAATCAAATCAAGAAACAATCAAGAGAAGGTTAAAAAAATACAAGAATTAATTGTAACAATCAACAGATTGCTTCTTCTTCTTCCTCACTGATTCGTCAGGAAATTAACGTTTTGTTAATTGTAACAATTAACCAATACAAACCAAAGAAATGATTTCCCAATTTGTGACTGATTAAACTTTTGTTTCTTCAATCAAAGATAATCAACAATCAACAAAAGTTAATCAATGAATAGTAATTCTTGATCAATCAATGACTAATCAATGGCTAATCATTATTTTGATTAATCTCAAGTTGTGTAATTAACGTGAGAGACAATTAAACACAATACCATAGCAATTAACAATCTCACTCATTTATATTAACCTGATTGTCACAATTGATAATTGTTGGCCATTCATTATCATTAATACAAATATGAGACAAAGACAATTAGTTAATTGTGTTACTTTTGTACATTTGTCTCGTTTTCCTACAATCAGATGTTTAATTGTTTCCCAATATCAACAACAATTAAAAGTTTGACAGTTTCAAAGTATTAATAACTAGTAGGTTTAATCATCATTAGTTTTAATTGAATGTACAATCAAGCAAATGATTAACTTGTTTACCTCGAGCAATCAAATTAAAGGCTTAATTTAAAAAGCTACTATTTTATTACACCAACGACCATCACTAACTGTTAATCATAAACACTAAATAATGAAAACAATTTAATGATAACGTTAATTATATTATCATTATCGCAATAGTTTAGTTCAAATATCAGTATAATTTATAAATTGTTGGAGAAATGAAAAAAGTTTATCCTTGATATTAAATGATTAACCTTCAAAGGTAAGAAATAGTTTTCATTTGATTAAGTTAATTGTTGTGAAAAAATAAATGGAAAGTTAAACATTGGGAATTAATTTGAATTTTACAATTTACAAATTGTCGGTGTAACAATTAAGGAGAGAGAGAAAAATTGTTGCAATTAGATGATGTAAATAGCGGAAGTGATGATTAACTGATGATGATGATGATGATTAAGGTGAGTAATCAAATAAATTGTCGACCACAATTAACTGGTTAATCATTGGACTGTAAAACCAATTGAAACAAAAAACTTTGCCAAAAGTTTGGATTAGTTTTCAAACTAAAGGATTTTTGTAAATTAATTAACAATCAACTTTAATTGTTAATTGTTGATACTAGGCCAAGTTAATTAAACTGCGTCTCCTTTAATTGTTACTATTTGCCAGTTAAATTGTAACTTTTTACCTGGTTAATGATAAGCAGTTTAATTTAATCATGAAAATCCTTTGATTGTTTATTTTCATATTGTACCAACAATTAATTGTCTCAATTAAAATAATAATTTAATCTTAACAATTAACTTTCTCTTTCAACGATTTACTTTAATAGCCTCACCTTTATTATTAATATTGTTGTCTAAATGAATTAATTAACTGAATCAACTAATTATGATTAAGACAAAAACAAATGGACAAGGACAAGTTCAAACAGTTAGTTGATTGTTTTGTTAATTGTTAACCATCAGATCAATTTGATTGTGTTAATCGTAGTCCTTAATTGTAACTGGGATTGGTTTTTAACTCTTGTAAGTTTAGCTGTTAATTAGTTTGATTTAATTGTGATTAACTTTTGACAGGAGTGTTCATATTATCAAAATCTTTAAATCTTAATCTCAAACAATTTAATTATTTGATAATTTTTATCTATTAACATGCAAATTAATTGTTTGTTTATCTTAATTGTTACTCATTAAACCTCAATGTTGATGAAAATTATTACCATGATTGATTAAAGTAATTAACATAACTATAACTAATCAACTGTCAATCTCAATGATCACCTGTCATTAATTGTTTGCCTAATTGTTGTCTACCTTTAATTACATCAATTGATTATTGTAACGGTTAAATTTATATAACTGGATTAATATAATTATCTCATGTTTCCTTTTAATTGTCTAATAATAACAAAACAAAATTAAGGATCAACAACAAGTAAATCAACTTATCAATTACCATTGAAAATTAATATCAATGAATAAACAAAAATGAATCAATTGTCATCTAAAAGTTAATTGTAAAACTACAAGATTGATGATGTAGATTAAACCAGAAACTTAATTGTTGTTATTTTCAAAATTATAGGCAAATTTATTGATATGGTTAGTTAATTGTTAGGGTGTAGAAAATTATTTCTACATGTATGATATTTATATTGTGTTAATTGTAATTTGATCAATTGTTGGTTGTTGTTATTGGCACAATCAGTTTGATATTTGATCCACTGGAAATGATATTTAATACACTTTGGGAATATAATTGAATGGATAGTTAATCGTACGAAATGAAAAAGTAAAATTAAATCACCTCGAAAATGAAAATTAAATTAAATCTCAAGGAGATTTCTGTTTAAATTGCTCGAAAAGGGAATCAGAGAAAAAGGTTCAATTGGTTAATTCAGTTGGAATCATATATATAAATTGTATCCATGGTAGTGGTTAATTTGAAGGTGAACATGATGATGAGGATGACGAGGATGAAAAGGACGAAGTGTGATGACAATTTGACAAATTGTTACAATTGGGTTGTAAGCAGAGCTTGAAAAGTTTTCCTTTAATCATCGTAATCAACAAATCATCACTCAACAGCCACATTAGGATCATTATGATTACACTAATTTCTATCCTCATCATATTGCAATTATATCATCATCATCATCATCATCATCATCATCATCAGTGTGTCATCATTAACAATTAATTGTAACCATTATGAGGCAACGTCCCATGCAAACTTGAAACTAATCAATAATAAATTACTAAATAACGATTTATGAATCCATGGTAAACAGGAATCAGTCTGATTTCTGGATAGATTGAGATTTAGTTGGTTAACTATTTCGTGATTGTAACGATTCAAATCATTTCGTTAAATGATTGAGAGAAATTAACTTTTCATCTCCAAGATGATTAATCATTGAAACTTTTGAAAAAGTATTAGTTACGTGCTACCATCTCTTGATCGATAATCAAACTAAACTTTTCTAAATTTCTGTCAACAATTAGTAATTGTAGAATCTTAATGTTGTTGTAATTAGAAATTAATTATCCGAAAATTATGGATATTAAAAGGATTATAATCTCAATTTTGAAGCATAAATTGTTCTGTGATTGGGTTTAATTAGATTTCAACTACTTATATTGACTTATTGGTGCTAATTTGAAATTCTGATCATGAACCTATTGATTACAAGTTGGATGATTATATTACTAAATTACTGTTCAACATACAAATTATCCTGTGATAATCAACAGCAATTAACTCAACAGTTAAATTTGTCATCACCATTGGAAATTGTTGATGGTAATCAGCAAATGGAATCAACTAAACAGGTAACAATCAATCAAGGACAAAATCCTGATCGTACATTTAAAGTGATTGGATCAACACTTGAATCAATCAAACAATTACAACGGATCACAGCCTCGAGTAGTATAATTAAAATTGAATTCAATGAAACCAGTGGTGAGGGATCATTAATTGCTCCAGACTGGTGGCATAGATTAATGGAAAATGATTTCATAATTTACGATTGATTATGATTAAAATTCATTTCTCTTAACTGTAACAATTTCAATGGTTTAATATGAGAAAATAAACAATAAATTTAAAAAAGATTCAGATAAATCACCGATCCTGTAAATTATTCGAATTTAATCATCATGAACATCATGAAATAATGAACAATTATAATTTAAATTTTTAGCAATCAAAAAATAGGTAAAAGCAATTGAGATGAAGATGAGGATGAAAAAGTGAGTGAAATGATTAATCCTGGAATCGACCTTGTATTTATTTACTTAATAAACCTCATTAAACGTAGTAAGGTGCAGTCAGGTTAATCACATCCTCACAATCAGCTATATCAATGTTGGTTAAGTCAAACATTTGCTATTAACTGCTCTTTCAATGGTAAATTTTACGTATTTGCTGAGAGGATGAATTTCGAATTGAATATTTCAGATTTTTCATCATGAAGCCTCAACATCTTCTTTATTTGTTGATAATCAACTGATTATTGTTGTTTAGATTTAGTTTAAAAAACAATCAAAATCTCTTGCCAATTAACTAATTGTTCAACCAAAGATCTTGACATTATTTTCACCAATTCTCATTGTTAATAAATCGTATTTGTCTTGGTTTAATTGTTTAACAATTACCTTTAGCAGTATTAATCACTGCACTTTCATCGATTTCATTGTGGTAACTTAATTTGACTTAATTTTCTTGGTTCCATTCGTTGACCTCAATGTCCATATCAATGTTCTGAACACACACATCAATCGACTTGAAAATCGAAAGAGTTTACTTTTGGATTAACAGATTTCGATTTTCAACTAATTGGTTACGAATAAGTAAACGATTACGGGGCCGAAAAATGTCAATTGTCATTAATAAATCACTGAAAATTGAATTTGCTTTGAAAAGATCAACAATTAACAATCATTGTTGATTAAATTAATCTCTTGATGATGAGGCAGAGAGTAAAACCTCTAATCTTTGGTGAGGGTAAATATAAATAATCTAAGCAAATTGATGATAAATGTTTATTCAATTGTCGATTTTACGTATCCATTATGCAGATGAGTTTCCAAGTGATATAAATATAATATTAGATTGTCGACACCTTCACCATGTGCATTGGAAATTGAGTCAGAATTTCTTAATTTGAACATTCATTTGTTACTATCGATGGTAAAAAAGAAAACTTTACGAATCTTGGATTGTACTAGAAATCAGATAAATAACATGCCCAAGAAAATTTAGAAGCTAAATTGATCAATCGTATTATTTAATCACAATTTGATTGGCTTTTAAATGGACCCAGGATTGTTAGAATGATCAGTCATTGTTGATTGAATGAGCGATTGAAGATAGAAAATCTTTATTTGACTTTAAGATAATAAGACAATATTTGTTCAATTGTCTATTCTACCCTCTAGAATGCTAAAGATTGGAAGATATAAAAAGGATAAGTTATCAACTGAATTTACATCAGTTTCATTCAACTTAAGTTACTTCTGTAACAATCATCAAAGTTTCATTTCTTTTTAGGTGAGCAGAAAAAAATCAATTATCTTAATCATCATGAATTTCAACCATGTGAAAGTACTCTTGCTTCTAGTTACTCTCTCTGGAACTATTACTTTAGCTGTTAACTACGAATCACATCAACATTCAAAACGAGATACCACTGGACAAGCGCCTATTATCAGTGATAAGGATGATGATAACGGTGACAAATTGACAATGAAAGGTACCAACAATATACTTCCATCATTTTTATCAAAACTGTTGCCAATAGCAGAAACTTCTCTCGGGGATTCTTATGAGAGTTTGTTGAAGAAAAACTCTACAGCTGATTTCAATCCAAATTCTGCTCTCTTTTCACTTGCAAGAATCATTGGTTTTTATCCCAATTATCGCAGTTATTATCAGAATGAAACAAAATTAGAGGCAAAGTTCGATCCAGATCTTGCTCCTATTGTTGGCGTTATTCACAGTGATGACCCAAACAATACTTTAGCTGGTAAGTCGAAATAAAACTTCGTCTTTAATCAAAACTCAAAAAATTTAATTTTTTATGACGAAAAAAGAGTATCTTGAGTGTTTCCATTTTGAGCTAACTGTTTCACTGTAATAATTACCGTTTATTATTGAATGAATATTTCATTTTATTGACTGTCATTCTTTTTAATAGCCTAACTTGATTTATTGTCTCTCTCTGACTAGACTTAGATTTAGAGCGTCCAGTTGATCTTGCGGACTCACTTCCGTATGGAGACTTCTTACAATCAGCCGAAAATTTGATCCAAATAGAGGATTTAAACAACTAATTTCTGATGAAAAACAACAATGATCCAACATTCTTAGCCAATTGGTTAAAGACAATTGATTGATTACGATTTCTTTTTTGCTATTTTTGATATCTAATCTATTGTCGATCAATTTTACTGTATAATATTAATGAAAAACACATCAAAGAATAAACCAAAATGAATCAATTTTCATCTGAAAGTTAATTGTAAAACTACAAGATTGATGATGACGATTAAACCAGAAACTTGATTGTTAGGTTAGTTATTATTTTCAAAATTATAGGCAAAAGTTTAGAGAAAACAATCAATTAATTGTAACTTGCGTTCTAATTGAAATAAATTAATAATTTTTTCTATCGATCAGAACTTATTTCAAGGTAGATGCTCAAAATTTGATTTAGTTCAACTTAAATCATTGTCCTTAAACTTTTGCCGAGGACTGTATATTCACCGGATTTTAACTTTACGCTTTGTCCTTAATGTCACGGAATCGATTTCTCCTTCCACCCTTCATGCCAAATGAGGAAACGATTTATTGATAGTTTAAAAAACAATCAAAATCTCTTGACAATTAACTAATTATTCAACCAAAGAGCTTAACATCATTTTCACCAATTCTCACTGTTAATTAATTATATTTGTCTCGGTTTAATTGTTTAACAATTACCTTTATTAGCTTTAATCACTATCCTTCCATTAATTTGCTTTTTCGCTTTTTGCTTTTTTTGCTTAATTTATTTAATTAGTTGATTTAAATAGTTTTACTTAATTTGTTTTAAATGTGGTTACTTAAATTGCTACAAGATGGCAATATCATATTTAAATTGTTTAATTAAAACGTTTCTTAATTCAAACAATAAACTTTTTCAATCAAGTTCAATGAACTTAAATTACACTACAATTAACAAATTGATCATTGCATTAATAGACAAATTGGTTAATTGTTATTACATATAAATGGTTGATTAATCTAATAATTGACCTTGATCTAACAATTAACAACCAAATTAAATGAACCGTTGAAATGATTAAAAATCATTAATAATAATAGTAATTCAAAAGTTTTTATTAATTAATTAATGATCGTGACTCTTTTTAACTGTGTAACTCAATTTATTGTTTCTCGTTTATTAGGAATAAGACTAAAGTATCCGGATATTGATCCCGCTGGTCAGAGTTTCGATATAAATGACAATAGAAATCGTCTAGATCCAACTGATGCTCTCTTCGTTGACGTAATTCACTCTGACGGTGGAGAATCTGTTATAGACGGTGAGTTGAAATAAAACCTAGTCTGAAACTCACAGAATTTAAAATTAACTTTTTATGACAAAAAAAGAGTATCCGGAATCACACAATAGTGTTTCCATTTTGAACTAACTTTTTCCTTGTAAAAATTACCTTATTTACTATTGAATGAAGATTTTATTTTATTGGTTGTGAGTCTTTGTATTAATAATTGTGTAATTGGATTCGTTGTTTCTCGTTTATTAGGATTAGGATTAGAGGAGCAGGTTGGTCGTATGGATTTCTACCCAAATGGAGGAGAGCGACAAGCAGAATCTGGTAAAACACAGAAATTATTCAATTTTCTTAACCATTAGATTAAAGGTAATCACTTAATTGATAGGCATTTCTTTTTTGTTGTTTTCATATCTAACGATAACGATGATTATAACGGTGGAAAATTGTCAACGAAAGGTGACAACAATGTACTTCCACCAAGACCATTATTACTCGGAAAAATACCTGGTATTGATCCCGTTGGTACGAGATTCTATATACGAATAAATGGCACTAAAGTTCGTCTAGATCTAAATGATACTCACTTCGTTGACGTAATTCACTCTAATGGAGACTTTATTAAAGACAGTAAGTTGAAATAAAACCTAGTCTATGGTCAAAATTCACAGAATTCGAGTTATTTTTACCACAAAGAAAAAAAAGAATCACCTTAGTCACCTTACTGTGTTTCCATTTTACACTAACTGTTTTTCTGTGAAAATTAACTTGTTTACTATTGAACGTAGCTATTAATACGTCCAATAGGACATTTGAACAATCATAATCTGATGATCCAAAGACATTTATCACTGGTAATTTTCACTGATATTTCTTAACCATTTGATTAGAGGCAATCAATCAATTGATTGATTATAATTTCTTTCTTGTTGTTTCTAATATCTATTGTCAGTCAGCATTCACTTGTATTACTGAATTAAAGTTACTTTTTATTAAGAGGAGAACTTTATTGGCACCAAGTTGTGATCATTTCACTTTTGTTCACCGCAGTTAACAGAAAATAATTAATAGCAATTAAAATGATGATAATAGGATGAGGATGAAAAAAAGATTTGAAATGTTTACAGAAAAAGTGAGTTTGTCCTGATGCTTTTTCGACATTCACTGGCCGTTCAACTTTCGCTTTGGCCTTAATGTCACGGAATCGATTTCTCCTTCCACCCTTCATGCCAAATGAGGAAACGATTCATTCATAGTTTAAAAAACAATCAAAATCTCTTGACAATTAACTAATTGTTCATCCAAAGAGCTTAACATCATTTTCACCAATTCTCACTGTTAATTAAACATATTTTCTCGGTTTAATTGTTTAACAATTACCTTTATTAGCTTTAATCACTATCCTTCCATTAATTTGCTTTTTCAGTTATTTTTATTTAATTAGTTAATTTAAATAGTTTTACTTAATTTGTTTTAAATGTGGTTACTTAAATTGCTACAAGATGGCAATGTCATATTTAAATTGTTCAATTAAAACGTTTCTTAATTCAAACAATAAACTTTTTCAATCAAGTTGAATGAACTTAAATTACACTACAATTAACAAATTGATCATTGCATTAATAGAAATACACAAATTGGTTAATTGTTATTACATATAAATGGTTGATTAATCTAATAATTGACCTTGATCTAACAATTAACAACCAAATTAAATGAACCGTTGAAATGATTAAAAATCATTAATAATAATAATAATTCAAAAGTTTTTATTACAATTAACTATCAATTATTAATAGTTAACCAATAAACATCGACAAACTAATTTATATATAAATAACAATTGAAATTGTAATTAAATTTGATAGTTAGCTGATTGCTAATTAAAACTAAATTTTACAATTAAAGGTAAAAATAAAATAATCAAAGATAAAGGTAAATCAACAATATGATAAAATTAAGTTAACCAAATCAAATTAACTTTTGTTTTCTGTTGGTAATTTAAAACCAATAATCAACAACCAAATCAACACAATTAAACATTAATCAACAACAACAAGTGAAAATGATTATTAAAATTGCAACGAAAAAAAAATCAACCACAATTATAAAGTAAAAGGAGAAATCTAATCACAATTAACAAAATTAACCTCTGGTTGATTATGGTGTTTACATAATAAGGGAAAAGACATTCAACCTTTATTATCAACAATTAAATTTAATTTCTACCCAACAACATCCTGATTAACCTCCACCTCCACCCCAACAGCAACCTGGAAACACACCCCATCACCAGTAACAACAAGACCAACAACAGGTAATCATAATTAATGTTAATCATCAACAATTTAATTTAAAACTCTTCAAACAATTAACTTGAAACTTCCCATTGACTTTTACACGGTAAGTAGACACACTCACAAGAAACACTCACGTTATAATCATTTAATAAACTATCGTGTTGAAGTGACTAGAGATACACGAAGATGAATCAGTTAATCACAGAACAGTTAATTCAACAATTTACTAATTACAATTCAGGACAATTAAAAAGATTGTGACCTTAACCTAAACCCAAACCCAAACCCGAAAAAAAAGTTAACCAAAAATCATTGTCTTTCTAATCCTCACCAAGTTAACATCAAATTTCATCATTAATTTTTTGTATTTCATTTATCAATTACAATCAATTTTCTTAATTGTCCATCAACTATTAACGAAACTCCCATTAACCATGTTACCTGAATCTATTCAGTCAACAATTTGGAATAATAATTTAAATTGTGATTACCTTTTGTGTCCATCAACAACAATAATCCCATAGATTTACATGTGTCCCTATTATGTGTTATGGTTGTAAATTGTTATCATTTTGTATCCTGTTTAGAGTTGATTGTTGATTACAACAATTTAACTGTTCACCATGAAGTGAAAGTATCACAACCCTGAATCGTAATAATCCTTAATTGTTATAATTTGTTAATTTCTATTCATAATAATTTTTAGTAAATACAAGTAAGTTCATCTCTTTCACTATTCCTCTAACTAAACTTTTCCAACGCGATTCTGGTTAATCATTTTCTCTCCCTAATTGTGATCTCAATGTTTCTCAACAATTCCAATTGTTACCATGATTAAAAGCGATCATCAGAAAAGTTTATTAATTGTGATAATAGTTAATAAACAATAACAATAACGATAATTGACCTTATTCTCAATAGAATGTGATTATTTATGCTTTTTATTTTCTTCTTTCTTTAGGTTGGGTTACATTTCTCTCTCTCTCTCTCTCTCTCTCTCTCGAATTCGTCATCATGTTGATGATTTTTTCATTCACAATTTCGTCTTAATTTTCATTTCTCTTCATCTAAAATTTTCTCCATCACCGGAAACCGAATTAATCTAATTTAATCATCCATGTAAATTCTGCATCTTCATCTTACTCATCATCATCATCATCTATTTCGTGTATTCTCTCCCTCTTATCATCTTCTTATTTTCTCTTCTCTCTTTTTATACTTTTTCTCATTTTCCATTTGCTACTCTACTTGTTGCTCATTCGTTTCATTCATATAAATAATATTTTCCTTTTCTACCTTAAGTTTTTTTTTTGCTTCTTCTCAATGAAAAATGAACTTCATCTTTAATTTTATCACCATTCATCTAATCATCAAGAGTATTAATCATCACAATCAACATTTCCATCTACAAGGTTTACCTGTGTAATTTTTTTTCCAGTTAATTGTTTTTCTCTGTTTACTCCCAACCATATATTCAAAGGTAAATAGTGATTGGCCTTAACTCTTGGCCCGAAGAGTTCAAGGAAATTTGTCTTTTCTCTCTGTGCTTTTTAAACAATTGATTAATTGTTTGTCTACAATTTAAATTGACAATTGTATCTCTTTCCCTCACTCTCTCTCTCCCAGTGCAATTATCATCATCATTATCATCATAATTGTCATCATATCTTGTCATCAACTTGATCGTCTCTGCATTTCCCTTGTTACTTGGTCAATGTAAGTTGATTTCTTGATTTGATTATTACAATTACTATATTGTTACAATTGTTTTCTTATGATTAATTAACATTGACATGATTTAGTGATTCTAATTGTGATTGATTTTCTTTATACTTTGTTTTCAAACATTTTAAATTGTTCAGTATTTTTGGTGATTAACTAATAACTTCTTAACCTGATAACTTGATTCTATTAGTGTAACAATCAAATTTTGATTTTTTTTTCTTACAACTAAATTTAAATTCAAATCAGTAGTTTGATTATTTCACCCACTTAATTGTGAATTGAAAATTTTCCGTTAAAATTAAATATTGATCATAACAATTAACGAAAGTGTTGTAACAACATTGAAACTTTTTTTTCACATTAACACACAAATCAATCAACTAAACATTCAACAATCAAATTGAATCGATTGATTATTATTAAATTAATACAAAATCTAAACATAATTAACCTACAATTTAACTGATTTTTTATGTCTCTTATATTACAATTAACTTAATTGTGTTCTCTATTAATTCCTCTATTAAATGAATAACATTACCAAATGGATATGAAAAGTGTTGGATAACCAAATCAACGGGAACAAATGAATTGAATGATAATTTGAATAATCATCTTCATCTGACCAACAATTAACCCAAAGAAATAAAAACAATCAACTAAATCATCACAATGGTTGCACCATCTCTATGGTTGTTAACCTCCGTTCTTATAATGACCTTTGGTCATTTCGGTCACAAATCTTGCCACCGATCGTGTTCACAGGTAACCTTTTACCTTCCAAAGTCAATTAATTCTCAGTGTTCATCAAGTAAATCAAATTGTCTAATGGAAGCAACAATTACCGTTGATCCAACCGAAGACTCATTCGAAAGGGTTAATATTACATTGACACAATTAATGGCCGGTGATTATTTACGAGATCACACCATGTATTTAACGTTAACATTTCCTGGTCATCATCGATTACCAACAACAACATCAACTAATTACAATTCAATTGGTACCACCAACGAGATAAACAACAACAACAACAACAACAACCCACTCAGTGCCAATGGTTACCCGAATAACGGTAACCCTTTAGTTTCCAATGGTTTCCCTCCATATGTAAGGGAAAACAACCGTTTCTACAATGGAGATTTATCTTCATCTTCATCCTCATCCTCTTCTAATTCATATTTAAATGGATTCTCATCTAATAGTAATAATAATAATAATAATCGATACCTTTATCCTGGTAGCTCATCTTCAACCTCTGGTCATCATGCTCACCTTGAAACAACCACCATAATCAGTTACTCTTGCCGTATACTGGCCTCAGGTAATGCGATCGCTGAGATTATCCAAGGCCATGGATTAAAGTACAGTTATGTTTCAAATTCATCGCGATCATGTTCATTCATCTTTAACAGGTACGATTACCTTTGGCCTACTCTTACCACCCACCAGAAAGTTGACCTTATAAACAATGGTGATTTTACCGTTACCCTGGGTTACGATGATGTGACCAAAGATTTGCGACCGGAATCAATTCCGTTACATAAAATGGCCTTTCTAAGATGCTGCCATAGGCATCATGGAGGGTCAAAGTATTTGGTCATCATTGAACCTTCAACAACACCGGTCAATCCTTATTTATCATCCTCATCTTATTATCCAAGCTCGACTCTATCAAATGGACTTCGTCGTCGACCATCACTTGACTTTTATCTTCAGGCCTATTCACCGATACCGAAAACTGTTGTCCTCGAGTTAACTGGACCTTCGGAACAATCGCTTCGAGTTAACGTTTCCAATTCTTATTTCAATGTTTCCATACTGACCGATGGTGAATGGATATCGGTTCTTAATAACTTGACCCTTCCAAAAATACCAAGACGATCTGATCCCTTTGACGATTTCCGTTTAAATTGGACACTTCCGGTTCTACTTGAAACTCCTCGAGGGTCAATAGTCATTGAGGAAGGTCAATATACACTGGACATTGAATCCGATGTATCTTATAGCCATCGGGAAAAAGTTTACATAACCGGAAAATCAAATCTAATTAACTCGCCATCAATTATTACTTCATTATTGTTGCCAATCATTTTTTGTACAATTTTTAATCAACACAATTAACTAATCATCAATGAGAATAATTTTCTTCCCATTCAATCAAATATCATTGTATTTGTGACAATTCATATAACTAATTGTGTAATTAACTCTAATTTTATTATTATTCTCATCATCTTAATCATCTAATCATCATCATCATCATCATTTTGTTTAATATTATTAAACACAATTAATTATTTGAATAAACAAAATTCAAGATTCAATTAAATTGTGATTAAGTGAATTACTCTTGATTATTTTTTCCTAGTGTGTGTAATAGGAAATGAGTCATCTAATTGTAATTAGATTACCAAGATATCATTTATTAGATTGTGATGTTTAATTGATTATTACATTTGATGAATTAAGTTTTTATCTTTCTCATCTAATGTGTAACAATTTGTATTAACAACAATTTATTGTTAATTTTTGCAATTGATTGATATAAGAAATCAAACAATTTAACTAATCATTCAGTTGCTGATTTAATTACAAGGTGAAAATTGAACAGCCAAGGTTATTGATTAATTCAAATCTTCAATTAATTGTTTACCTTGACACGCAAATTTAATTGTTCAATTTTGATTTTTTCTTAATCAATCATCATGATTAACTATTAATTGTTAATATTTATGGACTCATGACCAATCAATAATAATAATTAAACAATAGTTTCTAATTGTTAACCATCAGGAGTGGTTAGTTAATTGTAATTTTGATGGTCAAGTGTGTTGATCAAAATTGATTTGATTTATTTTTCTTTCTCTCTCCTTAAATAGGAAGTGATTAAATCGTAATTAACGGTAATGATTAAGGAAATTGCGGTTTTCGATTTATCTATTTTTAAATCTTATCACTAATTAGACAAATCGTTACTAACAATTAAGGTTAGAATTTTCAACAATCAGCTAATCAGCACCATGAAAATATATTTCAGATTATGAATTTTACCTGAAAATTTAAAAATGATTACTTAATGGTCAGTTGATTTGACCTAATTATTATTATTTAACAATAGTTAGTTAATTGTTGGTGGTTGATATAATAGTGTCAATAATGATAATTGTTAATTACAATTGTACAAATGATACAAACCAAATATTAAAAAATATTTGTGACATGATAACAAGTTTATTATAAATTGTTTTTTTTGTCAACTGATTGTTTGTTTATTATCACTTGATTACTGGTATTAAATTGTTTATCTCCTGCTGATTGTTTGTATCCAGTGATTTGTATTCCAACCATTAAGAAAACTTTTTAGTTGGACAATCAATTGGTTATGTAATATTTGTTAATTGTTTGTGAATATTGAAGTAATAGTGAGTAGGAAAAAAAATTATAAGTTGATTGTAACTTGGTCTTGGTGATATTAATTAATTAACCATCTTTGAGCATCAATGGTACATTTGATTTGATTTGTGTTGCTTAATTAATTTCCTGGTTTAATTTGTTCGATTTCAAATTGTTAGTGTGTATTAGTCTGCTACTAATTACAATTTAAACGGGCTGAAGATCACAATGTAAAGTTAATTGTAATTAACTTTTTCTTCATCTTCGTCGACATGGTTGGCATCTAATCGGGTTTACAACATTTGCTACGGTTTTATGGTCTCCCTTTTGATGTGACACTTTTTTTTGTCTTATATTAAGATGTAATTTGGTAAAGATATTAAATGGTATTAAATTAACTTGATAAAGTTATCTAACCATTAACCATTTTTCTTTTATCCTTTTGATTGAAAACGGATGATTTTCAATTCACTTTCCAACAATTGACTTGATTGATTCAATTGGAGAGGTTGAAAAGTTTTTTGTTGTTGCTTTTGAGTTGGTGAAACAGAATATGAATTATTATATTGTGACGATAATCAGATGTTCAGTTGATTTCAAATCGTTTTGAAGTAATTAAGGTAGGTTGAGGTAGAAATTTACCAATAGTAGAGACTTAATTGTTGTTGATTAGAGTATTAACCAGATTTGCCACAAGAAGGAAGTTGAGTGGGTGGAAATTTGTACATGGTCCATGGTAAATTGTTTAGGTGTATTTGGTTACACTCTGCGGTTAATTTGTTTGACTGAGTTGATATTTTTGAGCTATAAATCATGTTGAGTATGTCGTTTAAATTTAGTGTTTGTTTGTATTAGCCACTTGTTGTATTGCAATTGACCAAAATGGTTGTACGCTTACTGTATGTGAGTTTTATGTCATTTAGAGGACAGAGTAAATACTTCATAATCTTTAACACAGAAATGATAATCGCCCATGAGTATATAATTATTTGCATGTTCACCATCAAAAGAATGGGGTAAATTTGAGTAACTTTCCATATTGGAATTACATTTATCAGATATTGCAAGATCAGCTCCACCTCCGAATATTGGTCCGTATCTTTGATGATGAACGATTGCAAAACGTTTTTTAATCACATCAAATTTAATTGGATCCGTTGATTCTCTATTAATCAAACTGAATAGAAAAGATTTCTCTGAGGTAATGTAACGGCCTTTTGGATCGGCAGGTATTGACCAAGGGACATCAGTAAATCCGCCACAAATGTCACCATTATGACCCAGGATCAAGGTAAAAGTGGGAGAAATGTTATCACAGTGATGATGGAAAGAGTCAGCTGAAAATCCGTGGGTATGAGCACGATAAATACACCTCCAGGTTTGCTTAGATACTCCATACCATGAGTTTAATACCTTCTGGAAATGACTATTGGAACCAGTGAGAAGGTGAGACCCATGAAATAATTTACCATGATGATGGTGAGATGAATTGGAAGAAGTAATTTCAACAAGAGAAGGTGATAAATAATTATCATTAAGAAAACCATCAAGTGAATTAATTCCACCTCCACCAACAGTTAAATTATCACCTCCTGAAGTACCACCAGGACCAGGTTTATTTTCAATCTTTTTCTCTATCTCATCCAAACGTTTAAGAATCATATCTTCAGTCTCATGTTTACGTTGACCTTTTTCAATCAGGTTGACCAACCTATCAAAGTCAACCCTTAACTTCTCGTTGTACTTTTTCCTACCCGCTTGTGTAAGATTATTAAAAACAATTTCTTTTATCTCATTAACCAGTCCAACATAATCAGTATCACTTTCATTGTTGTTGTTGTTATTATGTTCACTCATAATACTAAAAAACAAACAAAAAACCCAAAAACAAATAACCAAAAAAAAAACACTGATCACCAAACCAACAATAGAAGAAGAAAACAAAGCGCAAAGAAACCAAATCCAGAGAATATTTTCCAATGAAATCCAATCCAATCCAAGTCCAGTCACAGGAACATTAAAATGGAAAATAAAACAATTAAATTCCAGTAGAAACAATTAGAATTAAACTAAAAGTTACCTTTTAATTACAAAGGAAAATTTTGTAAGAGAAGAAAAAAATTCTACAAAAAGAACAAATGTGAAAATAGATTAGAATTTATTCGAGAGATGGCGCAAGTGGGCGTCGAATTTCGGTTGAGGCGCAATCGCTTTTTCCATAGAGAGAGAATCAGTTGATTTTGTTTCGTCTTTGTTGATTGTGGATTTTAACTCAATTTTGATTGTGTTAATTTGTTTCTTTCTCTTCTCATCTTGTAGTTGAGAAAATTGTTTGTAATTTGGTGTTCACATGAGACTCAACGGATTAGATTAAAACCCCATGGATTTTATTTCTCATGGTTGTTTATCTATAATCTCATTGGTAACCAATATGAGTTCATCTTGTTCATCGGTTTTTTATTCTTACCTTATGTTTACCTTTATTTTTACAAGTTTACCTTGGTTTCGAATATCTAATTATAACCTGATTGTTTCAGCTGAATTATATTCAGAATCACGGCCAAAATGTGAAGAGATTAATGTTCCCATGTGTCGAGGGATTGGTTATAATATGACCTCAATGCCAAACCAATTTCACCATGAGAAGCAAGATGAAGCGGGATTAGAGGCTCATCAATTTTGGCCACTGGTTGAGATTAATTGTTCAGATGATTTAAGATTTTTCCTTTGTTCAATGTATACACCAATTTGTATGGAAGATTATCATGAAAGGTTACCCGCTTGTCGATCAGTTTGTGAACGAGCTCAGTCTGGATGTGCATCTATCATGTCACAATATGGTTTCCCTTGGCCCGAGTCAATGGATTGTAATAATTTCCCTCCTTATGGATCACCGAATCATCTTTGTATGGACCAAAAGGAAGGTGCATCACCTCCATCACCTCCACCACCACCACCACCACCTCCTCAACTAGTATCATCATCTTCATCACCACCTCAAACATTTTTCTCTTCATCACCTTCTCCTCCACCTTCATCATCAATCTACTCAACAACATCAACTTCATCTCCCAAACCTCCATCAATTATCACCTCTGGTTCCAATGTTTCTCATATTAGTAAGTACATTAACTAATTCTGGTTACTCTTTCAATCTTGATCTACCAACACACCTCGAAAATCTAATTTCCTTCTAAATCTTCACAATCAATATAATATTAATTTATCTTCGTCAACATCTTCCTAGTTACTTAACTTATCTTTATTTTCTCTCCCGCTTCATCTTCCAATCTTCAATCTCCATGATTTGATAGCAATTTAATTTAATTGACACAACAATTTCCATTTACTTTCATCTCTCTCCAAATAATATTAATATGTTTCTCTCCTTAAATAGATGAATAAGATTTTTTTTTTCTCCGCTTTTCTCTCTCCTTCTTATTTATTTTTATATTAGAGAAAAATCTATGAGATTTTCTTTCTCTAACAAGAGAATACTTTGTGATCAAATCTCAGAATATCTCTGAATTCAATTCACCTTTGAATTTCAATTGAAAAGAATTGAAACTTAATCCATTCGAATGAAAGATTTTATCTCTATGAGAGAGAAAGGGAAACTATAAACGACCTTAACACCTTAAAACCTTTGGATTAATGAGTAGAAAAATAATATCAAACTCTAGGTAAAAACTCACATATCCATTTATCCGATTTCCCAAGATATTTGTTTCCATAGAGGAAGAAAAACTCTTCTACTAGAAGAGATGAGCAAAAAAAAAATTCTCTTCCGAATTTTCAAACTTTTCTTCTATCGATTTTCTATTCTGTTTACATTATTTTCAATTCAGTAGTTTAATTGTTTTCTCTTGTTTACCTTTGTCTTTTTCTCTGTAATATATAAACAGTGAGAGCGAGTGAGATGATGAGATGGAAGCTTAATTTTGTTTAATCTGCCATTATATCAACAGAGGAAAACAAGAAGAAAAAAATATCAATATATTCTTAATATTATCATTTCCATAGTAATCTCATCTTCACCTGAGATAATTTTCTCTGTCATTTTCTTATATATATTTATATCCACAAACAAAATAGTATTAATATATTCCCTTGGAAGGTTATGAACATTTTGTTTATCTTGAAATAATTTTGATACAAATACGAAAATAGAGTAACAATTATTTTCTTTTATTCTTTTTGCGTGATTCAATCCCATAGATCTCCATTTCTCTCTCAATATTTACTTAGAATTGATGGACAAGAAAAATTCTGAATTAAATTGTGATAATTTTCCCTGACAATCATTGATTATATCATCGACTTCTCCTAGTTAATTATTATACAGTTGATAATGACTATCAACAATTAGATGATTTTTTTTCTTATCATCATCTTTGTGCCCCTGATAATTACTCAAGCATATATTTAATCCTAATCCTCCATAGTGATTATTATTTACTTTCATCCAATCAAATCCAATTATCATAATAATAACAAGGATAATATAATTATCCATGTTGATTCAATAAATGAAGGATCTTCTCTCTTCCGTATCAATTGTATTTAATGGAAAGGATAAACAATTGCAATTGCTTTTCAATAGTTAATCAGTATAAATCACTGACAAATCACACAATCATAATTTGCAATTATAAACCATCAATCATCATCAAATTGTTTCATTTCTCAATCAAATACTGCAACAATTAAATTGTATCCACAATGAAATTGTTATCAAGTCAATTATTTTCGTTTCCTTGCTTTTTCCTACTGTTTTTTAATTAAAACAATTGTATTTCTCTTAATTGTTACATTTTCAATAGCAGAGAATTAAATTTCCACACTCTTTCCAGATTTAATTAACAATATATTTTAATTAAATTGTATTTTAATCTACTCTGTCAGAACCCTTGATCCTTTGTTACCTAATTAAGATTATATTGAACAGTAATAGCTACTTAATAATAATTAATCAGCTCTCACAATCCCACTAATGAGTATTGATGTTGAATGAAAGACTTTTTTTATCACTTCCTTATCATCATCATCATCATCTGATGCTTTTGTAATTGAAACCTTTCATTATCTATCAAGTTCAGAAATTGAATGTCCATTTGATACCAAAACATAACAATAAGTGACATGTTGACTGACCATATATAGAATCTAATAATACTTAAGTCTTCTTCTTTTCTCTTGACCATCACTTAACATTGTTGTTTTTTTTCCACTGAATGTCCAGTAGTTTTTATTATTATTTTGATCCTCTTTTCTTTTATCTTTCTCCATCTTCTCTTTGGTATCTTTATACAAGATTTGATATTGGAAAAACACATTAAGGCTCATCCCTTTTTTCACCTTATCTTCATCTTCTTATACTCTTACCAAAGGTAAGGAAGGAGGAGATGAGGATGTGTAGGTGGAAGATAAAAAGAGAATAAATGTAAGAAGAGAAGGAGAAGAAAAAAAAATCCATTCGCTTTTTCTCCAATTGATAATACTAACTCTTTGCTAATATCGAAAATCTTTGGTTACATTCATTATAATCTTTACCTTTAATCTTATAAACCTTTAGTCTTTTTCCAATCAAATTAAACTAGCCTTTTCCTTTACACATCTTGACCATTTTCATTTCCCAATTGTCCTTTCCTTATCTTCATCAGTAATGACCTTTTCTTACCTTGATTATTTCTTTAATACTTGAACATATTACTTTATATCCACTCCTCCCACCCAACCTCTGCTAGTATCTCACCACCCTAACCAATACACTATTAGTACACTATAAGTAATCATCATCATCATCATCATTTCTTGAATAACCTTAAATTACCTAAAATCAGACAATCCATATGAAAAGGAAAAAGACAAATTTACTTTCTCTCTCTGTCTCTCTCTCTAATTTAGATTAACTGTATTTCATAGTCACGATAATCATCTAATATAATGTTGATCCAAAATTGTTACCGGAACAGGAAACAATAATGAATTACTTAGGCCAACATCTTAAAGATAGTGGATATATAATAACATATAAAACTATATCATGACAATTTTTATATCTTATCTTTAAATCAATAATCTTGTTTGTCTTTACCAGACTTATATCTATGGTGATCATGATAACATTTGACAGTTTTATTAATATATTAGTCCACAGAAATGAATTATGATGAAGATAATTATGATTAATTGTTATTAATTCTAATTGTTGATTTGCTCTTTTTTTCCTTCTCTTTTTTAATAATAAAATCACTTTTTAGGTACAACTAAATATCCTGATTTAATTCATGGTAAAACTCATGGTCACCCTCGAGCTGGATGCCACTGCCACTGTCGTCCTCCACTGGTCACTATTCATGAACCAAGTGATCATTACAGTAGGATTATTACTGGTGGAATTACTAATTGTGCTCAAGCTTGTCACTTGAATCCATTTTATACCAAACAAGAACAATCGAAGTCCCTTCTATTGGTCACTATAACAGCGTTTGCTTGTTTAATTTGCTCCCTTTTGGTTGTTTGTACCTATCTAACCGATCGAAGTAGATTCTGTTATCCTGAGCGGGCAATCATTTTCCTCTCTGGGTGTTACGTTATGGTTTCCATTGGATTTCTACTTCGCTATCAACTTGGTCACTCGTCTATAGCCTGTGAGGGAAGTCGACTACGATACTCTGGCATAGGAATTCAATCATTTAATTGTACTACAGTTTTTATATTCATCTACTTTTTTGGTATGGCTGCATCTCTTTGGTGGGTCAACTTGACCCTTGCCTGGTTTTTATCTGCAAGCCTTAAATGGTCAACAGAAGCCATTGACAATCATTCTTGGTATTTTCATGCTCTCGCTTGGGGGGTACCGGCAATAAAATCTTATTTAGCCGTTTCAACCTGGGCTGTAGATGCAGAACCATTGGCAGGTATCTGTTTAGTGGGTAATCTTAATCCTCACCACCTGATGCATTTCATCATTGCACCTTTATGTGCCTACTTAATTGTAGGGATTTTCCTCCTACTCTCAGGTCTTATTTCATTAATGCGTATACGCCGAGCTATACGTAAACATGCACGCCAAGTAACCGATAAAATTGGCCTGGTTAAATTGATGATAAGGATAATAATCTTTTCTGTTTTATATATTGTACCCACTCTTGTTGTCATCATTTGTAACCTTTACCAATACTCATATGGACCCATTTGGGAGGTCAATCATAACTGTCACTGTAGCACCAATCGTCTGGAAACTCCTTATGTTACCATTCATTTATTCAAATATGTAATGACCCTTGTGGTTGGTATTACCACTTGTTTCTGGATAATCTCTGGAAAAACGCTCGAATCATGGTGGCATTGTACAGCGGAAAGACTATGTTGCTGTTGGGGTATTAAAGCGCCCAATCCAAGAGGTCAGTTGATTGGGTCAACGGGAGGAGGAAGTAGCCAATATATTGTAAATAGTCAACGAAGTTACAAACAAATCAAGTGAGTAGCCCAAATCTCAATAATATTTGAACATTGGAATATGAAAAAAAAAGATATAAATTAAGCTGATGTTGTGCTGATTTCTTGCCTAAGAATCGAGAGAATTCAAGTAGAAAGAAATCAATCGATTGAATGTGAATAATTAATAAATTGCTTAGCTTTTCAATCCGCATTATTTAGTAGGTTAGTTCAGTTATTTGAGTGATTCTTATATAAATTAACTAATGACTAGTGAATATTAATCATCCTATAGATTCTTAAACTTTGCTTTTTTCCCCTCTGATGAATAAGCAATGATATTACAAGAAGATGTTTCCGAGAGAGAAATGAAATGTAATAAACTAATAGTAACATTGATTATCTGGTCAGTTCTCTGCGTGAAGACATTCAGAGATGATTTCCTATTGATTATCATTACAAAAAATCCCTCGGGCAATTTTTTTCCGATCATCAATTTTCACTTGCCTACCTGAAACAATTTAGTTACAACATTGAGTTCGATAATCTATATATACAATAATAATATCAAGTTGAATTGAAGCAACATGATAAACATAAAGAGTGAGTAATATTAAGTCAAAAATATTGAGAATGATAAAATAATAGCTTGGAGCAAAATCCTCAATAGGTGAGGATAGCACTTTAACCGTTATTTTTACTTTATAACACTCAAAATCTCATTACTTTTTCCCTCTCCCTTTTATTTGATCTTTTTTTCATCATCTCTCTCGCCTCTCCTCATCTTCATCTTTATCATCATCTCTTGAGCCTTTCATACTCTATGGAGTTTATTTATCATTTTCCAACAACAACAGTAATAATAATAATGACGATGATAACATTTCTTGACCACCAAGACTTAACCTAAACTGTCAATCAAAAGTAATTGTTATTATATTCAGTCCACTTTTTGTAAGCTGACAAAATTGTGAGCATTTACATAGAAACAGAGAGAGAGAGAGAGAGTTGAAGGGAGCTTGAAAGAAGCCTCTATGCTGTCCATTGTATTGATACTGTCAAAAACATGATGGCGATGAAGATGGAGATGATGAGGATGACAAATAGAATAAAATGATAAAAAGTAATAATTCGATAATAGAAGTGAATCAAAGAGATGATGAATTTTTCCCATGGATTATTTTCTATGGTTGCATTTTTCTCATATGCATTGAGAATACACTCCTATCAATTTGTTCTGATTCCATCTTAATTCATCCAAGTAAAATGATTAATTTAATTTACTCTAGATAAATATTATCATTAACTTTATTCTAGCTTCATGATTTCAATTATGATTCTTCATGAAACCAAAGTAAAATGAATCAATCCAAGAGTTTTTTTCTTTGTATGATTTAATTTACTATTGATTCTAACTTTCTAGCTTTCAATTGATTAACTAATTCATTTTATATTTATCATGTTATCTCTTTGGATTATGATTAGATTGATATGGAAATCAAACTCATAATCATCCATAACTAAAATTGTTCTTAAACCTCCTACTTTAATTGCTTGAATCGAAATTCAAATGCAATTTAAAACAGAAAACCTGGAAAGAAAAAATTACTATTCTAATTTATTCCAATCATCATCTATCATAATAACATGGATCTTTCATCTTCATCTCTATCATCATCAATATCATCACTCTTTCAATATGTATTATGAAAAAAAAACAACATGATGATGATGAGACATTGATGACTGATGTTATAATACACACACATAAGTTTATCCAACCCCAACAGCAAAAAGCAATTTCCCTTATAACTAAATCTCTCTATGTGTAATATTATTACTTGAGAATTGCTATCAACTGTGAAACTAAATTGCTCTCGAAGTGTTTTCCATGTTTACTCTCAATTTTACACCAGTTTCATCTCTAAGGATGAAAGAGGCAAAAGATGAGGATAAAAGTGAAGATACAAAATATGAGGATAGAAAAAGAAAGATGGAGAAGATTTGAGTTTGATGTAATACAGTCGCAGAGGAAGATGAAGCTGTGAAATGAAGAGAAAGAGAAAGAGAGAGAGATGGATGATAAGAGATAGAAAAGCACAAAAAAGCATATCAAACTTGCGAACGCATGTTTTTACACCCTGTAAGTTTCCCACCCACATTTTCACCTCATTTGCCTGTTGATTATATTGGTTTTTTCTCTGTGCAATATTTGCAAAAATAATCTTCATCAAATGTTTTCTGCTTATATTTCAATTCCTATGATAACTTTTTGTTCAGGTCAACACTTTTACTGACCAATTTAAATCTCCCTTTTTCTTGCAACATTACCCTAGAAAATAATAACATCTCTTTCCAGTCTATTATCTTGAAAATTTTTCCAAAACAAGATTCATTTCATGGTTACATTGATATTTCATCGTGCTTATCATCATCATCACCTTTATGATGAAAATTTTGGGTTAACTTTAATCATCAAACTTAGACTATATATCTTGAGTAGTACTGGTTAGATTTTTATTATTGTTAACCCAAATTGATGATGATGCTTTCAAGTTAACTGTTATATCATGGTGATGGTCTGATAATGATAATAGTACATATAAATGTACTAGATATTTATTACTATTACAACGTTAATTATAATAAATTGTTCATTCCTAGAAAAGGTCCCATTGAAAGCAAGAAAACAAATTTACAGAGAGAACGTTGTTTCCACAGGAATCGGATGTTAACTCTGTTTTGATTTACCATCAATCATAGAAATGATTTGATATGAAATCTGAGGAGATTTTTTCTTAATAATTATCTTATATTTCTCTATTTCTGTTGATAACATTATTACCAACGTTTCAGATGATCAATTATATTACTCCCAGTTACATTCATCCAATTTGATTGGAAAAGTAACAACATTTATATCTCTCAATTCCTAGTTGCTAGATCTAGTTACTCTCTGATTTTATTAATACGATTATTATATTAACTTTAAACGTTGATCTTGTTTCTCTCAACGATCAGAACTATTTTGAAAGATTAATTCAGATTCAGGATCGAATAGAATTCAAGAGATTGTTTCTGTTATCCCATGAGTTTCTTTTCTCCAATTGTATCCTGTAAACAGATCGACTGTCAGAACTTTGGATATATATACTTTTCTCCCTGTGTACTCTGATTATCCCATGAAAATTTCATTCAATAGACTGAATATATTAATATATAGTTGAAAAAATCCAAGGAAAAAAATCTATATTCACTTGGTAATCATTCTGTCACCATGATGGATGATGAACTGAACCAAAACTTGATTGTGTTTATCATCTTTGGAAACATTTTCATGCTCATATCAGATTGCACCATAATAAACAAGTTGTATTATTTTGTATTGTCATGATAATGATCATGATAATGGTGCTCAGAAAACTCAACTGAAATCATGTCACCAGAAACCTTTTTCAACGCATCTTCTTGTTGCCTTGATTATAATCAACTTTGATTATATATTATCATGATTATCATCATCATGTTCAATTGTTACCATAAAGTGTCACTTATTTTTTTTCCTTCTTAGTTCATTTAAATTGTAAATTGTGTTCATGGTTAATTGTCTCGTTAAATTGTCGTTATTATTGTTGTCTAGTTAGATCAAGTTTCCTGAATATTTTAAATTTTCATAATAATCTATTTTGATTATCATTGACATGATTATCTTAACCAATCAAATAGTTATATTGATTGATTATTTACAATTAAAATTGATTTTCTCTGTCAATTTATATTGTATATGCTTTTTTCATCTCAATCATTGACAGTTTAACATTACAATTCAATTAACAGGCCACTTTTATTAGCTGACGAAATGATTATCATCATTTAAATTGTTTCCAATCTAATTCATGAATACAATATTAATAATCAACATTAAATAGCAATAACTATTACCTTTTTTATTGTTATTAGCTGTTACTATCATTATCACTTGATGATTATCATCTCTATGTGTTTTTTTTATCATCATTATGAATATTATTATTGCTGTTTCCTTTCATAGAGATGATATTAACTCACCTAATATAAATAATAGGTGAATAAAGTTAACAATTGATAATATAAATGATGATGATTATGATAAAATTGTAAATGATAAAAATTACATATGATATGTTTGTATTATTGTAATTACAATTTTGTTGTATATGTTTTTATATAATTGATGAAATTTTGTTTTGTTTACCATGTAAAATGTTGAGGATAATGATGATTTAGATAATGATTGAGATGAATATTTAATAGCTAAAGCTTTATAATCAGGTTGAATCTCATTTCCAATTGCAGGTTAATCTGGATGAATTTATCTTGAACAAAATTCTGACTTGATTCATTAATCTATATAAATGAAACACCATGAACTTTAATATTGATTACCTACTTAAGCTTGAGAAATGATGACTGAATAATTTAAAGTTTGTACAATAAATGGATACATTGGAAAAAATTTACCATGAAAATGATTCAAATTTACTGAATTTCTGTTTCTCTTTTTTTTCTTACAGTCATATTGCTCATCTATCGGGAGGAGGTGGAGGACAACCTCATCGGAAGATTTCACTCTCTCATGTTTAATTAATGTCTATCTGGTCTCATCATCTTCATCTTCATTCTCACTGCCATCTCAGGATCTCATGGTGTATAAAAAAAAGCATTGAAACATTTTCTGTTCCAATGTGATTATATTACATTCTGAAAGAAATCAAATCTTGATGCTTCTCCATTGGATCGATTTATCTTCATTCGTCTTCATGATGTTTCTCAGTTCTATTACCATGAAAGATATAATAATATATAGACACACCAATATTTTCTGGAATACTCAGAGACAAGAATAATAATCTCATGTCAATCACTTTGGAATCACAAGATTTATAATATACCTTTTTGTTTGAAATAGACTTTGACTGTTCATCATCACAATTAATTCTGAACAATCTGATCAAATTATATTCATCGCCATCATGGAAGAACCTTTCATCTTATATCAAGTTGACAACTAATTTAAAGATAAATTAAGAATCGTTGCTTTATTTAGTAGATGATTGTTCATGATCATCATTACAATTCTGAACACATGGGACCAGTTTCTTCATCTTAATTGTTTACGATTTAATTTACGTCGATTATCAGTATCATCATCATTATTATACATTCCAGTTGAATTTAATCCGATTCCTTAATCCAAGATCATCATTGATTTTTAAGAAAAGTTTCGTTTCAAATTATTTCTGCCCAACAATTAATTAGTTTCTGTTGGACGATTTATCTTATTTTACAAATCTAATCATCATTTAATCATCTTCGCCATCATAATCAACTGATTCATTGAAGATTATTGATCATAGTCTCGAAACAATTAACGATAGAAGATCAAATTTCTACCAATCTCGATTAAATACTGGCCTATGGACAATTTGGTCACATCGATTATCATTTGATTACTTTATCTTAGTTTTAATTCATTTATCATCTTCGTCACTTATTAACTTAATTACAAGAGCAATTTGAATAATCATATAAATCCTCTGCAACTATTGTTGCATAATTATTATTATACCAGCCAATTAATTGGACAATCTCATTCAACATCAATGTAAGAGGAGCTTAAGACAAAATCAATCAATCGGATGAATGGACAACAATCAGAGGACCTCTCAAAAAGCCGAATTACAATTAATTATCAACAATTTATAATTAATTCAACATCTTTTGTGCCATCAATGTTTTTTTCCCTTTCGACAATTTGTAAAACTTCAAGTCAATTCAATGATCTGAATGTTATTCAACTTTTCACATCTCAGTATTATTAACTAATTACCTCTCAATTGTAATTAACAATTTACCTTTGCACAACATATACATTCCTATCAACAATCAACAATTAACTTGTTTATATGTAGTGATCAAAGGATAACAACAAACAATTTTATACAGACAAACAGGGTATCCCGATAATGGATAATATTAATTGTCCATTTGATTGTAATAACTTTTTAATCAATATTTCAATTGAAAATCATATAAATTTAACCCTCTAATTTCCCGCCAATGGTTAGTTGATTAATCTAAATTATGGTTAATCATCAATGGAAAACTGTTAATATAAAAACAAACCTTTTTATTGTTTTCAGTGATAATCAGGATAATGTTAATCATTTGTAATTATTACTAATCAAATCAATTGGAGAAAATCGATCAACAATTTCACTAACAATCAATTGATTGTATTAACCATTTTTATCAGTCATCTTTTGTTTACAATATTTTTAATCCAATTAACTTTCCCATATTTAAGTCAATTACTGTCATCAAATCACAATTAACAATTAACATTCAATCGTCCAATACCTTTTAATCACTACAATGGAAGCCAAAAACAGGGTATTTTTAGTTAATTTTCATTTGATTAATTGTTTTAATTGTGTTTCCCTCATAACAATTATCATTTTCCCAATGACCCTTTTAATTTAGTCTCATCAATGTGGTAAATTGTTTTGTAAAATTATCTAATTGTATCGATGTATTATTATTACTATTAATTAATTGGAAGCAAATAAAATTGCAAATATTGAAATTATCGCTCTCTGGTCAATCAATAATTACAACCGACACAACGATTACAGGAATGATTGATTTGATTGTGAAAGTTAATCGGTTGGTTTTATAATTTTCTTTCTTTTTCAAATTAAATCATTATTAGTAATTGATTATTAGTAATTAAATTTAATTTTCGAAAGGTAAAAAAACATCGATGCAGTTTATAGTCGTTTCTTTCGATTTGGGCGAAGATTCGAAGAGTCTCCATGAGAAATTTTTTAGTAGATGATCTATTAGACTTAGTTGCAGCGAAAAGTCAAGTTTCAGAAAAACTTTTCGATACGATGAACCGTCCATTAGTAAATTGCTGTAACCTGGTGAGACTCTCAATGAAGCTCGATTAGACTCGTTTATGGGGAACTTTACTTTATTATTTAGAATGCTGGAAACTTGGAAAATTGAAACAATTTAAGAGATTTAATCACTAGAACTTGAATTTAACTAATAAATGATTAGTTCGAAGACTAAAATGAAAGTGAGACAAAAATTAAATTCTATTAAAGATTATCTTATTATAAGATATCTGCGTAACTAATATCATACTGGTTGTTTTTTATCCCATATAAATATCTCAAAAATTTAATGTCATATGAATGTCAAACTCGAGGACTAAGCAGAATTGAAGTGCTTGACACTACGAGTTTCAAGGTCATTGAGGTCATTTCTCGAAGGATTCGTTCAAAGGACATTTAAAGGCCACCATGTAAAAGAGTGTAAATAATCTATCAAATACCTTACAAACTGTCTATCGTTTATAGAGTGAAGCAAGTGAAGGTCATCTTAAAATCCTTTCAACACAGTCACTGCAAAATAAGATATGGAGGAGTTTGTTGGGCTCTTGCACACGGTGACCTTTAAAATCGTAAGGTCAAGAACTTCAATTCTGCTCAATGCTGCAATTCTTCTGATCAAGTTTGAAATTCTATTAAATTAACCGTTGAGGATAAAATACTCCCTGTATTATTATTACTATTAATTAATTGGAAGCAAATAAAATTGCAAATAATGAAATTATCGCTCTCTGGTCAATCAATTGAACCATTTGAATCGACACAACGATTAGATTAACGATCGATTTGATTGTGAAAGTTAATTGGTTGATTTAATAATTTTCTTTATTTTTCAAATTAAATTGTTGTACAGATTAAATGATTTGCTGATTATTTTGTGTGTAATTGTTTTAGTTTGTTGATTGCCCCAAATTGTCATAACGATTTCAATTGTTTATATGATGTTTTATTACAATTTAAACGGTTTTATATTTAATTGTTATTTGATTTCAATTTTATTGCCAACAAGATGATAAATTGGATTGTATTTATTTTAATTCAGTTTAAATCAAGTTGATTATTTAAGATGAGATTGATTTTTTTTGTCGTTTCTTTTGCTTATGATTATCGTTTTTTTTTAATTTTTTGTCTGGATTTGTGATGTGATTAGTTTTAATTGTGAAGGTTATTTGATTGTTTTGCTTTTCAAGATGGTCGATGCATCCGCCGGAAGAGACGGACAATGTCCACGATAAAATAGTGACTCATCTTATGTTCACTGTCCTTCCACTGGTCAATTAGCTCTTGAATCGATGTGATCTGTTGTTTAACATGGTCAAGTGAATCTTCGAGTCGACATTTAATTTCAACCTCACGTTCGGGAATCATGAGACCTTGATTAATGGGTATTTCTGGTGACGGAGGCCTTGAAACGGCGGCTGTTGCCTCTGAACAACCAGCGATTGCCGCTTGTAGTTCCGATTTTGCCTCGAACAATTTATCATGGACACTTTTTGCTCTCTCTAATTCCTCGACTGCCTCTTGTAAAGGTGGAAACTCCATTCGAATGTCTTTACCCATCATCTCATTTAAAATTCCTTCGCATCTTTCTAACGTTTGATCATAGATTTCGAATTTCTCCAAAGCATAGGCCAATTGAGCTTCGATTCTTTTACCTTGACCAACCAGTGCTTCGAATGTTTCTTTAATATTATTGTACTGGGAGGTCATTTTTTCTCTTTCGTAGCCACAAGATGTGACAACTTCTTCTCCCAATGTTTTCAACTCTTCCAGGCCACTATAAGTTTCGATTTCGTGCAATATTTTCCGATGTTTGGCTAATTCAACACGACACTGGGCTAAAGTACCGATGGAAAGGGAAAGATGAGCCATCAGAGTGTATGATTGTTGAAGTAACCATTTCTCGATCGACTGTAACAATTGATGATAAGCTTGAAGTCGACTCGTATCATGGTCAATAATGGACGATAATGAGGTCACATTGGCGGATGCAGTTGAATATTTATCCAATAAACCATTAATTCGTGGACCTAATCTTGTATCGGCACCAATCTCATCATTCAATTTGGTTAAATTTGTATGATTTCGGTCAATTGTACCCGTAAGTGTTTTCAATTTATCACCCAATGCTTTTAATTCAAACAGATCGCCCTTACATGAGTGACCTTTTTCAAATACTTCCGGATTATCAGTCAGCCATTGTTCATAACTGTCCAATAAAACATTATACTCCTCGTAACGATCAAGTTGAGCGGTTAATTTTTTCACCTCTCCATTCAATTGGTTAGTCAATGAATCAAATTGTGACTTTAGCTCTTCAAGATTGGCCTTTGATTGTGATCCAAGTTGATCATCTTCCGATGAGAGTCTAGCGGCCAATTCAGTGGCCATTGAGATTAAACTCGAGCCATTAGCAATGGCCGTTTCCTGGGTTTCTTTTAAATGATCAAGCCGATCAACCGGGTTTTCAAAAGGTCGATCAATTGTTAATCGAGTTTCATTCATCCAATCATCTAATTGTGCTTTAATCGAATCAAATTTATTCCTAGTTTCTTGGACACTTCGGAGTTTGTCCACTTTTTTACGAACCAATGAGACCAGTGAACTGTACATTGAGGTCAAATTGATAAAATCTTCCTTTAAATTTGATGTATTCGCTGAGGGTGTTAGTAAGTCCATTAGACAATTAAGTTGATCAAAGTCTGACTTTTTGTCCAGAATTTCATTTAAAAGACTTTCAGTTGATTCGAGAGAGGAGTCGGAAGTAGATGTAGAAGCGGAAGTGGAAATTTGCTCATTTTTCATTTTACACCAAAGAGTTAGAGCGGTGAAAAGTTTCTCATAGTTGATCCAATTCTCTAGACACTGAGAACATTTATCTCTCCATTCATCGATTGTGTTGGTTATCCAATCTACTTCCATTTCAAATTCTTTCTCATCTTCAACCTTACCAAGTTCACCAGCCCAAGTTATTAGCTTTCGAACCTTTTCAAGGTTTGGGTCAGCGGCAGTGGTCTCGATTTCGGCCAGTCGAGAGGAAACACTCTCCTTGTCGCTCGGTTTTATGGTGTAACTTTCAAATAAACTGTGGACACTTTTAATCCAATCGGTTGCCTCTTTGGTTCCGATTTTGAACTTATCATCTGTTTTAATCTCTTCGATTAGACGATTAATGGTCTCCGATAGAACTTGAACTCGAGGCGTATATCTATTGGTTAGGAATTCGTTTGCCTCTGGAAATTTATCTTTATACTCGGTGAGGGTTGTGATTAATTCCTGGTGGGTATTTACATCCTTCTCAATGAGTCGAAGTAAATTCAAAAGGATCCGTTTATCTCCATCTTTCTCGAGTTTCCCCATTGCGGCCTCAATCTCATTCTCGAACCATTCGATAACCTGATTCCAAATTTTCTCAAATGAATTGATCTCGTCAATTTTGGTTTCAAATGAACTTCGAGTTGATTGAGTTTCCAACAAAAGGGAATCAAAGTCGCCCTTTAATTGGACAATGTCCTCCTTCACATCGGCCACTCCATCAACATGAGTATGTTCAATAACTTTCGTGGTTAAATCTTGTAGATAAGACATTTTGGTTTCTCCTTGGCCTTTGAGGGAATCGAGGAGAGTTCGAGTCTTGGTTAGATTGGTATTCAATTCTTCCAGGCTGGACGATGATAAATGTTTACGAACATCTTCAAGTTTCTCACGAGTTCGATCAACAAACTCGATACATTCGGTTAATATACTTTGCTGTTGTTGGTGCTCTTGGAATCGTTGTTGTAAAGCATGGAGTACATCTTTCGCCGAGGCCACCAGGTCATTATAACGAGCGGATAACTGGGTGAAAGCGGCAGATATACTTGAGTCGGCATGAGTTTCGAGTAACAATTGAGCTTTTACATTGAGAATATGAAACTCTGTTTGCCAATCAAAGACTGACTGTAAATGCGACGATTGAAAATCCTCGAGTTTTGACCTTTTCGATAGTAAATTTTTCTGAGGTTCGGTAAACTCTTTTAAAATTGGCTCAATAACAGCCAACCAATTTGAACATTTTGTAAACTGTGAATCGTATTCAACCCATTTCGCTAAACCAACATCTAGACTTGATTTTACCGAACCAATTGTTGACCTGTGAACTCTAGGTCACTATTCATTGCCGCTATTTCCTCGTCCAATTGTCCACATCTCTCACTGTTTAAATTTTTCTTACAAAGATCAGCACATCGAATCGCAGCTCGTAATTTCTCTGGTCCCTCTTCATCGTCCGTTAATCGTTTCAATAAGGTCACTTTTTCGTTGATCGACTCACGATTCTCGATACTTGATGAACATCGGGCCAAGTCCTCTTTCGATCGCGCTAACCAATCCTTAAATTCTTGACAATAACTATTAAAATCTTCAATTTGATCAAGTTTCGTTTGGAACTGGTTGATATTTTCTCGAACCTCTGTAACCAATTGATCGTACATTGATTGTAATTCAGGTGAACTTTTGGTAACTGTAATTGAAGACAAACATTGGGACAATTAGTTTAATTGTAGAGAAAAAAATTAATCACTCATATCATCCGAAGAGCGAAAATTTCAACTCAATTTATCCAAACTTTAATTACGAGTTTTAATTTGATTCAATTGTTGTTAAATCCTCTCTTTTTTGATTCAATCAATTGAATTCATTTTGATTGACTCTTTTTGCCGTTGAAATAATTAGCAAAACTAATTAAGCAATTTTAATCAATTTATTGTCATTATTAAGTGACTAAAAATAAAGCAATTAATATAATCTATTAGTTGATATTAACTATACAAAAATTAAACAGGAAAAATCAATAATCAGAAGCAATTAAAGGTTAGGATTTAAGAGTGAGAAAATAGTTGATCAGTTTAATTGTGATTAGGATAATTTGGGTTTACAGTTAATCAAGACGATTATATTAATTTTCTGCTAATTGTAATCAACAGACAATTAACATTGTGATTAAGTTAAACTGTTAGCTGATCTAGATTTAGTTTTTTGGATTCAACCCAAACATAAACTTAATTGTTGACAACTAATGTGAATCAATCAAAGGAATTAAATTTAATCATTAAGACAAAAAAATAAATATTATGTTCATTGAGAAAGTTAATCAATCAAAGAGCCTAAATTGTTTAAACTGAGTTTACAATTAGTAAATTGTAACCAAATAAATTGAGAAAACCATAAACAATCAACTAGAAAATAATTAATCCACTCTCCGAATTAGCTAATCATCATCATGTAATTTATAAATCAATTAGATTTCAATTCATCCTTAGATTAGTTTAATTTCCTATGAAACTGTTTACTTAATTATCGATAAACAATTAGAGTTAATTGTAATTGTTAAACTTTCAATGGTCTTTGATGGTAAGGAAAAAACTAGTTACTCTTATGATGATCATTTGCCAAAATCCATTGAGTCCAAATGAGATGAAGATTAAGATTAACATGACAAAGATTAGAGGTGGGGAGTGGAAGAGATTAAGAGAGAATATAAAAAAGGGAGAGATCAGAGGATAATCTGAGAGTGAGCTAATAATCCACAAGGAACTTTAAAAATTCCCACCTCTTAAAATTTTCCACTCCCACCGGTGAAAATTTCATCTTCTTCTCAAGAGAAAAGTTTAATTACATTGAGTTATAATTACTTCGAGCATTAATTGTTGGTAGATAATCTAATTTTTCAATCTGATTATTGCCTCTTCCTCCTTGTAAGAATGTTACTCTTTATCATCCTCATCTTCATCTTTGGCATCAACATCATTTGATGAGTTGATACTTTTTCTCTCTCAAATATAACTCATATTGTCTTAGCATCTTCATCAATGTCATTAATCATGAAGGTAACAAAAATGATGATTAACATGATTGTTGATGTTTTTTTGTTCATGACAATTTACATGATGATGAATTGAAATGAAGAAAAGAGCAAGAAAAAAAGTTGAAATATCAACAGACTAACAAATTGATCAAACTGATTATCTAATTGTTATTTGGTTATGGTGGTAATTGTGGTTGGCATTGGTGGTGTTCGTAGTTGTGAGTGTTGTACATGCATGATGAGCAAACATGAGGATCAATTGAGTGTGGGAAAAGGTTATACATAAAATAGATGACCGGTAAGAAGATGAGGAGAGTAAATAAAATGATGATCGTACCAGAATGAATGTCCGGATGTGATTCGAGATCCTGAAGGAGGGAATTTAATTTCCTCATCTTGGATTTTAAACTTTCCTTCAATGAACCATAATCGTCCGTTGTGTTGCCCTCTTTAAGTGTACCCGCTCTTGCCTCTTGCTCCTTTAACCATTGTTTCATTTTATTACGAGCTAATTGTTGCTCTTGACATTGAATTAAGGCCATTTCAAGATCGGACTTTGTCTCACTCACTTTATTCAAATATCTGTCCCATTTTGATTGAATTTCATGAATCTCTAATGAGATGACATCTCGACCCTGACTTGGTGCTGATCTTAAAGCCTTTTCTCCTGCACTTAATGCCTGATGAACGGAAACTTGACCTTCCTCTTGATTTCGTTTAATCAGTTCACTTAACGATTTAAGTGAACCTTCAATTGATTCCCGTTTAGTCTCATAGGTACCAATGGATTCCAATTTATCGGAGGCCGTTTTAATCCACCCTGTTGCTTGGACACACTTATTATGGAATAGCTCATGATTCTCAGCGATCTCGTTCACCTTTGAGGCCACATCTTTAAATAGATTCGTCAGTACTTGATATCGAGATTCTAAAAGTTTCAATTGATTTCGAATATAATTTTCAAGATGAGAATTCAATAGAACATCTTTTTTCCACAATTTACCGATCGTCTCTTCTCGACCTTTTTCCAATTGCTCCATGAGCTTATTGCAGATCGCAACATTGGCCTGTTTCTCTTGTAAGGTCGCTCCTCGACAAATGGTTCGTTCTTGTTTAATTTCACTTTCCATCGATTGCAACCATTCATTGGTATCTTCGTATTCCTCTTTGAACTTTTTCAATTCGATCATGAGAATTTGAAGATGTTCAATTGTTTTCTCGATTTCACCAATCAACGAGTCATAATCTTTTTCCAGGTTATCGGTGTTTCGATTGATTAACTTTTTACCATCGGTTGAACTTGTTTCCAATGCAATAGATCCCAATTCTTTCATGTTGGCTAGTTTCTCATCGCCCGCTGGTCGACGGCTTAAGAGATCAGTCAAAGTGGAAATTGTGGTCTCCAAGGAGAGACGATCGGAAAGACAACCAGCCGATAAAGAGGGAACCCGATCTTTGAGATTCTTCATCCATTGGGTTACATCGTCACACGATTCTTTGAACGCTTGATGATCTTTGTAGGCCTTTTCGTTACTTTCAACAAGGTCTTGGAGTTTACCCAAAGCGGCCTCATGTCGTTCAACAAGAGCACCATATTCCTTGGCAATATCGGGCTTTTCTGTAAAAGAGAAAATTAATCAATAACAAAATTAACTCAACAATTTAAAAGATACAAACCAGATAATGAGCTGATATCGATTAGTTTACAATCTCGAAGTAGTTGTTTCGCTTTGTCCCATTGAGACTTTTTCTCCGACAATGAACAGGTAAAAAGAGAGGCCTCGACGATGGCATATTCAATTTCGTCAAGAGCTTTGGTCGCTTGTTTTAAGGCCATTTGTGATTGTTGAAGAATCGCAAGTTTCTCATTTGTTATCGCTCGAAGACTTTTCAATTTGTTCAGAGTTTCATTTCGCTCTCTGATTGTATCACGAATTGGATTTGAAATGCTGGTTCGAGCGGGATTACTAGTCTGGTACAGAACTCGTTGTAGTTGTTCATCGAGTTTTTCAAAGGCCACTTTAGCTTCTTTACTGTTGATTAGATCATTTAGTTCGGACTGTTTATCTTCAAGATCTTCCATTTCTTCACTTTCCTTTAATCGTAGTGAAGTTTTCTCGTTCATCTCTCGGCAAACTTGATGTAAATCGTCAAGGACACTATGATCATTGACGAACTTAGCCCATTTAGTTATCGATTCCTCGAGTGATCCGTTGAGTGTTTCATGTCTCTCATGAATACTGGTCACTTCATCGTCAAGAAGTCCATTTAACTGTTCAACTTGAGACTTGAGAGTTTTCAATTCATCAACCTTTGAATCAAGTGATTTCTTATCCTGTTCCAATGATTCCAATTTCTCCCGTTTCTCCAACAGGTCAGATTTCAGTTCGTTACCTGCTACATGTCGATCAACTTCATCCATCCAACAATTTAATTGTTCCAATTTATCAACCATTTGTCGATGTTGATTAGTTATGTCTTCAAGTTTACTCTTCAACTGATCCCCTTTAACATTAAGCTCGTTCAGTTTTTCCTCAATTTCCTCGAGGTCAGATTGCGCTTTCACCTTTAAATCGTCTTGTTGATTAGTATCATCAGAACTTTTCGTTGAATATTGTTGAATATTCGCAATTAGTTCAATACCCTGCTTCAATTTGGTTGCTCGTTCTTCCCTCATTGTCTCTATTTGGTTTATACACTCGCCGATCGCTTCGATATTGGTGAAGGGCTTTTCCGCCAACGAATCAAGAATATCATCATTGGTACGTAGCCAAGTTGCCAATTGATTGTAATACTGTTTCCAATCATTAGAAGTTGTTCCAATCGGTTCTTCCTCAACAACTTCATCTGATTCTTTGATTGTTGATTCACAATCTTCCACTTTCTCTGGCATCTCTTCAGCGGCTTCTTCAAATTGATCCTCATCCTCATCTTCAAGCTCTTTTACAAGCTCATCTTCATTTGGTCCACTCTCTTCAGGCATATTTGATTCATTTCCCGTCTCCTGTTGATCACCTTGATTCAATTTCTCCTCCACTGGAATGGTTGATTCCTGATTAACATCATGATTATCGATTTTAATCTCGTCTTCTTTGGGTATCTCATTGATATCGGCCACTTTATCGACCTGAACAGAGGCAATCGCCGCTTCTTTGGCTGCCAATTCAGCGGCTTCTTTGGCAATTTTTTCGGCAACTTCTCTGGCCGCTGTTTCTTTAAGAGCTTTAGCCTCAGCTTCCGCTGCTGCAATTTCCGCTTCGGCTTCTAATTTGGCCTTAGCAAGTACCTTTTCTTTGAGAAGATCCAAATTGCTGGTTAATTTGGTAAGAATAATTTTCTCCTCTTCAACTTGATCCATAATCTTGACATACTTTTCAATTGAAGGTAAATCAATGGTTCCAATTAAATCCATTAGTTTATCAAGATCATTTCTCATTGTCTCCAATATGGTGACACTTTTTTCCGTTGATTTAATTATCGTCTCTTCAATTTTCTCAACTGACAATTTACACTGATTTAACCAATCACGGAAATTTAATGCTTCCTTAAGCACTTTATTAGCACCATCAAAATCAAAGTAGCATCGATTGTCCATTAATTGTGACGAAATCATCTCAACCAATTTATTTACATTATTTAAACACTTTGACCAATCACCATCATTATCAACGTCTTTGTATTTAGCTGAAATCTCCGTTAATTCATTTTTAATCTTAGTTAATTGTTCAACTTGATTAGTCCATGATTCTTTAAGTGCTGATAGTTTACTAAAACTGTTACTATCACAATTAAGTAGCTCATTTTGTAGCAATCGAGTTAAATTGTTAATCTTACACCAATCGCCAATACGGTTTAAAGATTCAACTATTGATTCAATTTTAATCTTATCTTCAGCTGATATTTGTTTCTTGTTAATTGTTGTGGTTGTTGTTGTTGTTGTTACCTTTGATTCTTGGCTTAATTTAGTTGTATTGTCATTATTGTTTTCGTTTGATTGTTGTCCACTAATTAGCTTTATTTGATCATCAAGTTTACCACCATCTTTAACTTCAATCACGTCTCGAGTTGAATCAACATGAAGAGTAACATCACTCGAAGCCGAACCGACAATATCACCGCCGATAATTTCTTCCCGTTTCTCTCGTCGGGTTATCTCATATTTTTCCGTCTTCTCGTACCTTTGGACAGTCTCTTCAATAATACTTTTAACTTGTCGACTGGTTCCCGTTTCCGGTACCGATTGGATCGTTGTGTTTGTTATAGTTGTTGACACTTTACTCGATGATCCTGGTCCATCGGAAGGGTTAACATTTTCTGAGTTAATTGTCGGTAAATTGTTTACATCTTGTTCCATCGCTCGCCAAAATTGATCATAATCACAGATCATATCGGATAAATCTTTTTGTAATGTTCGAAGTGCTGAATCTGAGGCTAATTTCTCAATTATCGGTCGATTCTTGTCAAACCTTTCCAACAATTTGTCACATTCGTCTTTCTTTTCTTTCAGTTCATTTCTGTTGAACTCTTTTCTCCCCGATAACCAGGATTTAAGGTCATTTTTAATCGATTCAACGGCTTCCCATTCAACCAGAACGACCTCTTCAAGAAACTTAAGATACTTTTCCAATTGTGGGGATAAGTTTCTCAACGATTGATAAGATCGAACTCTTTGTTTGGCCTCACCTATTGAAGCGACTTTACACTTTTCCATATCGATCAATGACAATTGAATGTCGATCGATTGGACCCGATCACTTAGTTCCTTTTCCTCCAAGATGATCGATCGATATTTGTTAATCTCGTCTTTAAGGGAATGGTCACTTCCAGATCGGAATAACTCTAATTTAGCGGGTGCTTCGTTTTCCAGCCAGTTGATTATTTTCTCCTTCTTTTTGGCTCTTAACTGTTCGGCTAAACGTTCAAGTTGATCTTCGAAATTTTTCAATTCTTTCTCCAGGTCAACATTTGCTTCGTTGGTTAAACACCTTAGGACATTTAACTGTTCTCGAATCTTGGATAAGGTGTATTCGTTGTGTCGTAAGACTTCAACCTGACTGTCCAGAGTAATCGATTTAAGCTGAGATTCGGCAACTGCTATGAGGTCAACTGTCTCTTGACGGATGAAAGCGATATCTTGACGGAGTTTCTTTTTCCTTTTGATAAATTCTCGACGGTTGAACATTGCTCGATCGAGAATCGATTTATCATTAAATCTCTTCCAATAAACGGTACCAAGATTTTCCATTGAGTTTAATTGCTCTAAAATAGGTTCCTCGTTTTCAGGGTCATTAGTTAATCGTGATAGAAAATCGGCCTCCGTCAGATCAAATTCAAATCGTATCAAATGTTGCGGAGCTTTGAAATTGGTTATCTCATGGAAACGACTTTCCAAACCTCGAAGTGTGTCTTTAAGCCCAGATTGGTGAAATTCGGGTAAAGTGGCCAGAACATCGTTACATGAGGCCACAAAGTTGTACAAAATTTTCTCGTTTTCGGCTCGAGAGGAGAAAAATTTTTTCAAGTCATTCAGATAGTCGGTTTGTTGTTGCTGATTGAGATTCGGCTGGTGTGAGTTAGCCAGTTTTGTTTCTGCGGTTGTCAACCAGCCTTTCAATTCATCGGCTGCAATATGATACTGTTCCCACCGCCGGGAGGCTTCTAACATGGCTTGTAACCATTCATCAGCTAACCTGATTGTCTGTTTAAAATGAGCTGCTATCGAATCCCAAAGGTTAGAATTGGCTTCCAGTTTTGGTAAACAAGAAAAGAAAAGCTTATGGCATCTAAGCTGCTCTTCTACTTGTTCACCTGAGGTTGGAACTGAATAAGAGGCCAACATATTCTCGGCGATTCCAATCCAATCAACTATCGACTTGGCGATTGCTAATTCGTTTTCAATGAGATGCCAATTTTGTCGAGTTTCAGAATCGAGAGTTGATTGAAGACGCTCAAATTCACTTGATAATTCAGCCTGTTCCCTCTGTAATGAGGCCAAATTGGACTGATTAATACCCGTTTTAACCAGATTTGCGATCCATTTCCTTATCGGGTTACCCTCATCGGCTCGTATTTTAGTCGGATGTACCATAACTGATGACATGAGTACCTCTGGTTGGGTGACGGGAACTTGTTGTCTCTGAAGGAATTGGGAAACATAGGTCATTATAGATCGTTCATCCGGACTATCGACATCAATATCTTCAGCGTCCAATAGTTTAATTATACCCAGATGACGTTCAGCCAGATCAAAGGCCAATTGTAGTCTGGCTCGATTGGTTAAAACGGCTCTTCCCTTTTCACGGGCTCTCATTTGTGGCAGTATTGAATCTATGATGGTTAAAATGGCTTCACCATCTCTCCAAGATCGACCGAAATCACTTAAATTAAGGCCAAATCGTCGGTTAATATTATCCAATAAGGTACTTCTAAGGCTACTTCGAGCAGAATCAAGGGATGTAACGGTATTCGGTGGTGCTGGTGAAGATGAAATGTGTCGCTGAGATGAATGATGGTTACTCGAATCTCTCTGATGTTCTAAAGCGTTCAAACGAACATACTCTTCGATATGAAAATGTAATATCATCGTCCAAATTAATCCAAGGATAATACAAGGATTACCATCGACGATGTCGGTTGCGTGTATGTTTACAAGTTTCACCTTAATAGATAATCAAGAAGAATAACAATCAGAAGAAACAGAGAAAAAAAAGTTATAACAATTAGATAAATGCTGAAAATCAACGATAATCTTCCCTCTATCTTTTCAACAATTAACACAATCTAATTGTGAATCTTAATCATCCAACACTCCAACAGTTAATATGTTGCCAATTTTTGCTTTTTCATTATTTTCGAGAAGCAAAAATTGTTACTTTTTTTACTCCATTCAAATTGTGGTTTTTTAATTGTTGTGGATAACTCAACGCCTTAAATTTAATCATTCCAAGTGATTAACCATCAACAAGATTTCAGATAATCTAATCTACATCATGTCAGATTTAAAATCCATCTCCACCCTCCTTGTCACCTCTACAATAATAGTAATCATCATCTTCTTCAGTGTTTTAAATAATTTCCGCATCACTTGTAGTCTACTTCCTGATTATCTTTGTAATCTCGATTGTTAGATTGGTAGATTAACAATTAACGGAGATTAAATTGTTAGGAATTAATCCTTAAATCGTCCGTTGAAATGAATGGGAGTTTTGTTCTGAAAGTGATGAAAAATTGAACGTCAACCTGTTTGGTTTTGGTTACTAATTACTGATCATTGCCAAAGCCTAAATTAATTAATTACTTGGTTGTGAAAATCCATGAACTTGATTCTGTTGGCAGTTGATTGATTTCAACTAATCATAATCTCAAAAGTTAATCAACAACAATCAATTTAAACTTACCCTTCGTCTCTCCAGTAATTGTAATACAATATTAACATTGCTGATAAAATGGGGTCTTCTTAATCGTTTACCTCTTTCTCCAGGCTTTAATTGTTGACAATTAATTGTCATTAGAATGAGAAGAGAAAAAAATATCAAATATTCCAATCGATTATGACAATTTAACCAACGAAATTGTGATATGAAAGAGTAAAAACAAAAGTATTATTATCAATTCCAATGGAAAAGTTATCAAGATGAGTTAATAGTTATGATGAATGTCAGCTAATTGTTGACAATTAACTCACCAATTTTTCACCTGTAAGCGCTTCTAAAAGTGCTAACAATTTGGTTCCATCTCTTAATTCCTCAATTAGATTACTTTTTATACAATTAGGTACATGGTAGTTAATCCAGTTCATGAAAACTTTACGTTGAACCCGCTCTGTTTCATCTGGTTCTAGATTGATTAACAAAATTAAGACAATTAAGACAATTTTTTTGTGAATATATTAGCATTTTGATCAATTTCCAATCAGTCAATTGTGAGCAATCAACTAATTGCTTCATGTTTGGCTTGTAATTTTGGCCCAAATTGTGGTGAAGATGATTAATTTAAAAGGCAATTCAAAATTACGGAATGGTTTTTATTATTACGATTAACTTGAGCAAGAATTAATTTTTGCAGCTAATTTTAAATTAGTACAAAGTTTATATAAAATCTAATTATATTATGAATAAGTTATTAATTATTAGTATAGTTGAAACAGTTAACTGATTAACTCCAGATCTTAATCATGTTAACCTGTTAAACTGACAAAATAATTGAAAGTGATAAATGTTAATATGTATTTAGTGTGTGTGTTAGTTTAATGGTGAAGGTTAATTTAGTTTAATTAAGTAATGATCAAAACGATGAAAGACATTTTCAAGAATAATTAAGACTAATTTAATTGTTGATTGTTAATTTTGTTCTAATTTAATTTGATTTGTTTTTCCTTCTTCATTAAGATTCAATTTGCATGAACAAATTTTTCGCTCTTCTCAAAATTCATGGTCTTTGAATTTATCCCCTTGATTAGGATTTGGAATCAATTGAGAGAAACAAATTAAGATCAATTAGAACTTTTTAGAACATTTCTCTTCATATCGAACTAGTTTGAAATTTAACACCAGAATAATAAAGAGAGAGAGAGAGAGTAAAAGTCTGGGGGGGTGAAGAAAGTAAATTTTTTTCGAAACTTAAATTAGTCCAATCTCGAATTCGCAAAGTGTTTAACACTTTTAGCAACTAGTTCAGGGCTGTTTCTCATCATCATCTTGCTCTCTGTTTAATAAACACGATTATCTCTCTCTCTCTCTCTCTTACTTGTCTTCTTCGTCTTCGTTTTTCTTTCTCGAAAATGTTTCTAAACATGTTCTGATGGCCCGGAAGAAAAGGAATCGCATCCAAATCTAACTTTCTTTCGTCTTCTCTTTCAGTCCTTTCTTTTTTTCCTCTGATTATTTTGGCAAGTTTAATGTCAACCAACTAATGATTCCCCTTTAATTCTAATGAGAATAATTTAGCTTTATCTCCCTCTGTCTCTCTCTCTTCTTTGTCATCCTCATCTTCATCTTCTATTTCTTTCCATAGGAATCATCATAAAGAAACACCAAAATGAAATCAGAATCAAAAAGAAACCAGATTAACTTGTAATACAAAATTGTTGGAGAAAATAAAACCAACTAATGTCAATCTAAATCACTGAAAGAGTGAGAGACTGAAATATAAAGAGATAGAGAGAGATGAATCAACATGGAGTTTAAAAAGATGACTAAGATGATGGCAACATCAGAGCATCATCATTATCATCCTCATCCTCATCCTCATCAACATTATTTCAAATTAACTGGCAGCCTCAATATATTTAAATTGTGTACATAAAGAAACATTTTGTTGGCTTCAACGAAACACCAATTAATATGACGATTGAACAAATTGTACTAAACTTTTACGTTTTCTGGGTCAACCAGTTTTCTAACCAGACATAAGACATCCTCATCCTCATCCTCATCATCATCTTACTCTTCATCATCATTATCATCGATAATATTTCATCAATTGACATTGAAAGACAAACGCTCAATGATAATCACGTCCAAGGTAAAAATGTTAACCTGTTAACATTGGACTACAAAAGGACAACCAAGGAGATGATTAATTAATTAATGCAAGTTAAAAGCATTAAGAGAGTCTAAAGAAAATTGGAATTAATTATTTCCAATTAACCTGATTAAGTAAAATGATGATTATGATGATTTTCAGGGAGACACTTCACTTAACCATATCTTCATTGACATCATCCTAAAATCATCATCGTCATTATGACTATTATTATCACTTCGTTGATGATTATTATTATTTTAACGATCGTAATGTTAACTGTTGAATTATGATGATGATCATTATTATCATTTAGCTGCTTTAAGCAAAATGTTTAGCCAACCAAAGTTGAAAGAACCAAATGAAAAAGTAGATAAACATAACGGTAAAATCGGAGCAATGAACAGAATCATTATGATGAAATAGTCGAATTAAGGGAATTTCATTTTCTAGAAAAGTTCTAAACTCGATATTCGAATATTTTTAAAATTCTTTATCATCATCATTCTCATTTATTTGATATTCATCTGAAAGAATCGAGAAAAATAGTTGGTTGGAATATTTTTTTTTTCTCTTCCATCAAAATAATCAGAACTTTTTTTTCTGCTGTAAAAGCTTTTTAGTGAAAACTGATTGAAAGATGATGAGGATGAATAACATGGTGATGATGAAGATGATTATGATGATGATAATCTAAATTTGGTTCTCATTAAACCATGAAAGTTAACATAAAGTCTCTATGATCAACATTTCCAATTGAACATCGTAAGTCCACTTGGGTGAAAGATGAAGAGGAAGAAGATGATTAGGAAGATAGATTATTGTACCTTTTTCCTCATCTTCCTCCCACAAGTTACACAACAACAACAACAACATAACTGTATTATTTGTTTATCATTACAGATTTAAATCATCACCATGAATCAACAACGATAACAACAAACTAGGGAAACAAAAGTCACATTAAGATGAAGCTTCTTATTGCTAAAATTACCTAAGACTTAAGGAGAGAGAGAGAGAGGAAACAAGAAGATGATGAAGATGATGATGGAGAGAGAAAAAAGAAAACCACAGAAAAAGATGATGAAGATGATGGTGATGAGGAAGAGCAACAAAAGGAAACACAAGAAGATGAAGATGAAGATGAAGATGGAGATGGAGATGGAAGAGGGAAAAAGAGATTCGGATGAATAAAGTTGTAGCTTTTTAAATCCAGAAGGAAAGAGAATCCCAACCACGAGGAGAAGTGAATTAAATTAACCATATTCACACATTTGGATTACAATTATGCCGATTAATCAAAATGAACGTGGAAATTAATTGTTTATAATGTCTACTGGATTAATTAATTGTCTCACCTTGATCATGGTCAATATTATCCGAGTAACCGGCAGCTTCAAATTGTGATTCCAGAGATGATGAGTCAATCTCAATACACGAATATCGTTTCGGATTTAATCGTAACATTATAAATATTGATTGATTTTCGATAACAATTTATAATAACAATAATTGTAATAACACTTTTCGTTAATTGTTACTCGTAAAATTAATTCGTTGGCTTTGATTATCACAAAATTAACACACAATTAAAAGATAAACACAAATGTTTCCTTCTCATAATCATAATTATCGTCGTCGTTATCGTTGTCACATTTTGATTGTTTCGCAATTAAATTAAAATTAAAATTAAAAATGTTTCGTTCGTACAACAATTTAAATCAAACTTTTTATTAGGTAAAAACTACTGATTAAAAATCAATTGATTGGTAACAATTTAAAGAATATAATTAACTATGGAAAACAAATCTCTCTCTCTCTCTTTTCATCATTAAAACTTGGAGTTGATTAATATTACGTTCTGATTGTTGTAACAAATTAAAAGTAATTGTTTGATATTTTTATCGGATTTAAGTTGAAATTCAGTTTAATTGCTGGTGATTTGTTAATTGTTGTTTCAAGAGAGTAAACAGAAAATGGGAAAACAATTATTTCGTTGGAAAAGTAATAATTATATTCACTATCGAACTCACGTTTTTCATTCTCATGTAAAAACAGAGATGATGATCATCTTCATCTTTAACCAGAGAAAAGAACCAGAAAAGAAAAATAAAATAGAGATGAAGATGAAGATGATGAGGATGAGAAAGAAAGAGAAAATTGAAGATAAATAGACAGAGAAATGATGATGATGAAGATGATAAACTAAACTTAGATTTCGTTGTACACTGACATCTAACGGTTCTTTCAATGATAAACTTTTGTGCCAATTATCTTGTTATTTACACTTTTCTGAGGTAGACTAATTAACCAATCAGCTTGGGAATGATGATGAAGATGATGAGGATGAGCATCATGATGATGCTGGTGAAAGTAAGGTTATTACTCATCTTCTTGGAACCACAATCAGTTAATTAATGTTAACTGTTTTAATTTGTTTTCTCATCTTCTTTTTCACTTTCATTTGCGTTTCATTTTACATCTTGATTGTGATTGATTGATTGATTGTCAGAGATGAAATTGATTTTATATCAAATTTATTTTATTGATTGAATTTTTGGATATAAATTTTTTTTGTTCATTTTTGTTTTGCTTATTTATATTAATTGTAATTAATTAATTTCCTAAATTGTTTGTTTGTTGGTTTTTGAGTATTTGGATGTGGATGAAAAGTTTTGAGGATCTTTGATTTTAGTTTTTATGTGATGGTGGCTGTTGATTTGTGGTTTGTAGGGGTGAAGGAGCATTTTAATTGTTTGATTGTTGTAATTTAGTTTTGATTGTGTTGATAGTTGATATTTTTTACCATTCAGTAGTTTGTACTGTTTCAGCTGATTGTTTTTCTTGGCTGATAACTGAGGGTTGTACTTGTTGAACGGAACCAAAACCTGATGAGATTTTGTTATCGGTGGAGAGCTTGTTAACGAAAGTTGGAGCGACTTGGTTGGGGAAAGCGGGGACTGGAAGGCCAGAGGTGGAGACGGATGGAACGGTGAATCCGTTTGAGAGAGTGGTGACAGGTTGGACTGGGGCGAATCCAGCGGGGAATGATTGGAAGGCTGGGAAGCTTTGGACTGGAGCGGGTTGGGGAACAACGTTTGGGGCTACGAATTGTTTGCCAACTTTACCAACGACGGCTGGTCCGAAGGTAGCGGGAGCGAAGGCATTTGGGCCGAAGGCGCTTGAGGCGAAACCGTTTGAAGCGAAAGCTGGAACAGCTGAGAATTGGGGTTGAGGTGCAAAGTGAACAATGTTTTGGGCAAAGTTTGGGAATGATGGGTTTACTGGAGCAGCACCGAATTGGAATTGGGCGGGTTGTCGGTTGTCAAAGAAAAATCCATTTGGTTGGAAAGCTTTAGCTGATGGGAATGATTGGATAGCGGGTTGAGCGACTTGGGCAACTTGAACTTGACCAACAGCGGGAGCGGGAAGAACTGGTTGGAAGGCGAATGAAGATTGGACTGGTTGGACTGTTTGGACAAGTTGACTTTGTGGTCCGACTGAGGTTGAGACTTGACCAACAGCGGGAAGAGAGGAAACGGAACCAGAAGCAGGGACTAGGATGCTTTGTGTTGGTCGCTCTTGGACAAAGGTGACAACATTTTCAGGTTGACCAGCGGGTTGAACAAAACCAGCACCATTGGAACCAGTTGAACCACCGACGGTGGAAGGTCCACCAACCTCGTCAACATTAGCTAATTGATCTTTTTTCTCTTGGATTGAACCAGGGAATGGTCGTGAAACGAATGGACTACCACGGACTCCGACAGAGCCAACAGAGGAACCACCCTTAACTCCTACATAAACAACGAAAGAGAATATAAAATTAATCGAAAAGGAATCAGAAAGAAAATTTCGCCCAACAAAATTATCAACATGAACGAAGTTTTCTTACCGAATTGAGCTGAGGCACATGCGAAGACACAGGCAAAGATCAAAGCTGATACGAAATTCTAAAGAAAAAAAGAGAGAAAATAATAGAAAAATCAGTGATTAGATAATGAATAAAGTTAATTACTAATGAAAATGAGCCGAGAATCAGCTGTAAAGTGTATCGACATCAACTTACCATGTTTGCTATTTGAAAATCAAGAGATTCAATTAACTTTGTTGTTGGAGGTTTTAAGATGGAATTGGTTCTGATTAACTTACACCGAGAATCGGGACTATTTATATAATCATTTGTCTCACAATTATCCTTTTCCAAGACTCTCTTCTTCTCTCTCATTCTCACTCACATTTACCTTAGTAACTCATTTTAATTTATTCTTATCATCATCATGAAGATGATCAGTTTATCGTTTTCTGGTTAAAATTTTTGGGGAAGAACGATAATCACGTACAACGAAAGGAAAGTTTCAAAATCAAAGGTAGAAATCAATTCCCATCCCCAAAGTCATCAGAATTCATCTTAACCTGTATAGATAATCATCTCTATCCATGAAAACCTTACGATACTTTCCCTTTTTCTCTCTCATCTTCATCTCCTCCTCTTGATTCTAATGATGACCATCTCTCTCTCTCTCACACACACGCACTCAATTTCATCTCAATGCAATAATTGAACCATTAATAAAAAAGAGTGAAAGTGATTTATAGAAAAGCGATTTTCTCTTCACAAAGACCCAATCAAGGACAAAGAGAAAAAGACTCGTTGATTACTTAAACGTTCCCACTGACTTTCTAACCGAATCTCCCTGGGTTAATGAGGCTACACGCTGACAGAGATTAATTTAATTAATCAGTTAAACGATTAATTAAAATTTATAACCCTTTCCAATTAAAAGAAACATTTACAATTACACAGAATGAAGAGAGAGAGAGAGAGAAAAAATAAACAAAATATTCTGACAAATGTACTTACCTTAAACTCACAAAAATTGAAAATTAAAAACAACCGATGACCTTAAATGTCCATTAGAGTCTTAATTGAGGTGACAAATTGTATTTAAAATATTTTACAATTTAGAATAAACCAAAAAAAAAGAGAAGAACTAATTAAATGTATAATTAATCATAAACAAAGGAAAACAAATTGTGAATTCAAAGTTCACATTGAAATGGAACAAAATTGTAGGCGGATTTTTATTATTACCTTTTCCCTTTTTCGATCCCTTTTGTCTAAACGTGTTTGTGGTTTTAAGAATTAAATTGTCACAAAATTGATTGTTTACTATTTTTTTTTAATTGTCAATTTAATACCAACGTGTGTGTTTTGAACTGATCATCTGATTGATATAAAATAATAATGAATAGGATAAGAATTTTTGATGAAAAAATCAATTGAAATCTCCTTGGAGGTTTGAAAACAAATGAATCAATGATCACATTTTGTTGACTGAATTGCTTTTCTAATTATTGTTTTAATTTTCTTATTCATTTCTAATACGACATTTGGTCACTAATTAAATTGTTTACCAAAGAGTCGCCAATGTTTTGTTTGATTTGTTCTTTTGTGAAACTTTTAAATTGTAACGTTTTTATCCTCTAATTGTGATTAATTAACTTTACTTTTCTAATTAGATTTTATCGATTACGTGATCGAATATCAGTGTGGGTTGGAATCCTTGGCTTACCTGATTTTCTTTTTTCGAAATCCTTGATAAATCTTCTTTTCTCTTTGGTCTGATTAATAATCTTCATAAAGGATCATCAAATTGGACAAAGTATCTTTTTAATCTCTCTCTCTCTCTCTCTCTCTCTCTCTCTCTCTCTATCCTTTACTACTTTTTAAATGATTTAATTATCTTGTTCACTTTCCAAGGTCAATTGGTTTACTTATTATCCTAAATCAATCTAGATAATGGATTAGTTTTCATTGGATTATGTGATTTTTGTTTTTATTTTTGGCTCTTCTTTTTTTTATCTGATAAACAGGTTGGAGAATTGGTTTTGCTTGTAAACAAAAATTATCTTGATTGTCTAGTATCAAGTTTCCACATTGGAATATTTTATTATTTCTACTTCGTTAATTGAACCCTCGTTTAAGGTTTAATATCATTTGGATGGGTGAACCTGAATTACGATTTAATCTTTAAATCTACTAACTATTGCAAAGATGAATCGTGAATATTTGTTATTATATTACATGAATCTCTTTGATTTTAGATGATCATCAGTTGGCTTGTGAATCTTGTACATGATTGATTTAGAGGGAGAGAGAACTTGAATTGGTTTGATTTGAGATAAATTCATTCATGGTGAGTTAATCTTTTCAAATCTTATGGAATTGGGTTTGGATTCAACGAATTTCAATTTTTGGAATAATTTTGTTTACAACCGGAATAACATTACGGGATTACAAGACAACAAAGATGCATCATTATCACAGCCACAAAGAGTAAACACCGATTACAATTATGTAATTTATTCACATTTAAAAGACAACGTTGGTTAATTATTCTCTCGACAATCTAATTTAATGGGATGATTGATCATTCAGAGGGATTCAGAGAGTGAAACAATTTAAAGAAGGAAAGTTTAATGACGATGATTGATCAATAATGATGATAAATTGTGGAAAATGAAACAGCAAAATGTTGAATATTATGGAAACAATAACGTGTTAACAACATTGTATCAACATTTTCCACATCAATGCTCCTTTTTTAATTGTCATAATCCAAGACAATGAATTGAATTCAAATCGATGCCAAATAATCAACAACAACGACAATCATAAAATTCATTATTTTTCATCTCTTAAAGGTAAATATAATTGTTTACAAAACTCTTATATTAGAAACATTAAATTTCTATCCATTAATACAGTTTCTCTCTCTCTCTCTCTCTCTCTCTCTCTCTCTCTCTCTCTCTCTAATTCACTTAACAGATTAACACGAGATTATCTCGGGACATAGGATTATAATGGAGAGAGTCAAGGAGCAAAAAATGGATAAAAATAAAGAGGCGACTAATGTACTAATGAATCGACAAAAAAATTACATAGATATAAATGCAAACCTAAGCGATCAACCATGTTGCCAAGAAAATTAATCAAACACTTTGATTGCAATGGAATCTGAACCTGATTCTGTCACCAAAGAGAAAAATATTCATTTTCAGAATTTACATGTTATCATGTAAATATCATCATTAAAAAAGGGAAGACATTTTAAGTTCTCCTTTCTAATATCCCAACATATTTATCATCATCATGGATAACATTTCGTTGGATTTAATAATCTGAGCATCATCTTCCTTTAGGGAATTTGATTTTTTTCTGTTCCTACAATCTCATCAACTTTTCCGAATATTTGTCTCAAAGAGATAACTATTATCACGAGCATCATCATCTTGATCATCATTATTATTACAACCTCCGGGAGGAACGAACTTGGCATTGTGTTATCTTTTCCCTTTCTTTTTCCCTCTCATCTGTGTAATTTTGTTCGATTTTTTATTCTTTTCTCTCATAAGTGTTCGTTCGTCTGGTGTTCGTTGTGTTCCTTTTACTTCCGTAACATTAGCTGTCTCGAGGGCGAACAATTCGCTCTCTCTCTCTCTCTCTCTCTCTCTCTCTCTCTCTCTCTCTCTTCTTTCTTTCTTTCTTTCTTTCTTTCTCTTTCTCTGCCAAAGGCTTACATTTGCTTCATCAGCTTGGCTCATGATGAACAATCAGTCTGATGAATTTGCTTTTCTCTCTCGTTTTCTCCTTCTAATTTCAATCAATTTTTTTTCTCTCTCGAAGAAATTAATTTTCTCTGATAGCTGATTACCTTTCACTCTCACTTTCTCTCTCAAAGATGATGAGATGACAATTCTTGGATTGAGACTGATACGTCAATCAGATGATTATCATGTTGATAATCATTTTCTTTTCAAAACAAGGATTTAAATCACTTTCTGTGTGCTTTATTGGAGGAAAGATGTAAGTTAATTTATTGTCTTATTTTAATTCTTGTTTTTTTTTCATGTTAATTTAGTTACAGTGAATCTGAAGGATTTCAACCAATGCTTTAAATTTGTGCTCTCATGTGTAAAGTAATAATTAAACTAACATTGATTACTTTACTTCCTGGATCATCTTAACCCACTATGGATTAGATTTAACCATGAAATACATAATTTTGGTTACGATTTATAAATAATCAACCAAAATGATTAAATATATCAACTCATTTTTTCTGGATCGTTGTTTAATTTAGATTCACACTTGATATTTGTGGTAAAAATTTAATATCAATTTGCAGTAATCACTTTTCATGGCAATTCATGTGATTTGATTGATCTACTTATGTTTTAATATTTCTCAATGATTAACAAATATTGACTATTCAGATAATCAATCAATACATTTCATGTTTATATAAAACAATTTGGTTAATCAAAAATTATTATTGAGCAAATTAACTGTATTTTCTTGGTAATATTACAAAAATTCAATCAACAGTTTCAGTGATGAGAATTGTAATTCTGATGAATTAGTTTGATTTTTGGTTGGAAATTGATTTGAATTATTGTTTGCAATTTAAACTAATTTAAAGTTCTAAGACCCCAGAAGTGATTTAATTTATCAATTAAAGTTTCTAATTGTGATTCATCTGAACCTGATTCTTCAATTAAACTAACCAAATCATTTAATTTGGTCTTCATATTGTTTACATTAACACTGGAACTAGTCCCTTCCAATTTAATATAATCAAGGTAAAGATCAGTAATTAAACCATAAAGACGATCAAGATTAAATTGTATCTTAATTGTTGGTGATTGAGAATCAAGTTCGGTTAACATTGAGCTCGCAATTTCGGGATCATTGATACGTAAATCTTTAATCGCCTCGAGGAGTAAATTTTTCCTCTTCTCGCCCAACAATTGTCTCAATTTAGGGAACAATTTACTAATTGTCGAACCAAGACTTGAACCATTAACCTTTAAATTCATTTCAATTGGTATTGACTTTTTGGTCGCTTCTCTTGTAAGAAAATCTTTCAATATGGAAATAGTTGATATATTATCCGATTGGAAAGTTAATGATCCTTTGGAACAATCAACAATTAAAAAAGTATCCATAAGAGTGGAAACAAATGTATACTTGATTGTTAACGAAGACGAATTGTTAACACGATCAGGAATCTCAGGTAAACATAATTGTAACCAATTAAGTGATTCGTTTAACCCAAAGGAACCAAATATGTGAAGTAAATTAACTTGAGTTGAATCAATTGTTGAACTTAAATTGTTGTGACTCCGTTTATGTAACGATAAAGCTTTAATTGTGTAATGTTTAACTTGACAACTTTTTGGACTCATTCTCGTCATGATGTAAACCCGTATTGTCCCATATTGACCTGCGATAATTTAACAGAAACTGTTGATTAGTTGATTGTCTTGAGGAAAATTGTCCAATATAATAAGTAATTACCTTCAATTGAACGTATTTTAATTTCTATCCTTGTTGTATTGGCTTGACATCTAAAAGTCGCTAATATTTGTGATGACCAATTGTCGTTGAATGTTACGACCGCTGAGTTACGTTCACAATCAATTAAATCGATTGGTATATCACTCTGAACAATTACAGAATCAACAGCAACTTCAGATTCCAATGTTAATAAATAGGAAGCATCTGAGTGGATAAAAATAGTGGTTAGAATGAGTAATTGGCGACAATTAAAGTTGTCCATTGGAATTGCGATTTACCTTCTTGAAGAATCATCGAATCGTTGATTGCAAAGTATGGAAGTGCTGAGTAGCCCTGAGAAGATCGCAAACCTTTCACAGGGAATCCGGAAGTTAAATCTTGATAATATTCTCGTTCTCGAGTAATTTTCTTCTCCAGATCAGTTATCTCATTCTTAAGTGTTTCGATTCGAGCCTCAGAATCACGAGACATCATCAAAGATGCTTGATCATTAGTTAAATTGACTAGTTGATTGCGTGTTAATCCAAATATAAATCCAGTGAATGTACAACAAAGGAGTAAAGTCCCATCACGACAAATACAAATTGAGGTTAAACTTTCACCGCAATTGAATTCAGTCCTAAAAATGGGACTAAGATCAACATTAATCTAGAGAATTGAAAGAAAAAAAGAAAGAAATTAGTAAATTATATTGGGAAAATGATTAAATTTAAAAGTTTATTACCGATTGAGATCCATCGGCTTCTAATGTTTCCACGAAAATCCAAACTTCGATCGATCCGTCTGACCTTCCAATATATAATTCTCCAGTTGATTCTATCATGGCGATACAATTGACCTGAGCTTTGGCTCCTTTTTCAGGTATCTCCCATTTATGGATCGCTTGTAATGGATTTTTACTGAAATCAAGTGAAATCAGGGCCACTTTCCCGTCCAAAGTACCATAAGTGAAAAAACTTTCCGATGCACGATTAAGTTTATTCAACGGGAAAAGTACATTTGGAATACCACAGGTTTCGATTTCATATTGGCACACAGAATCTTTGAGAATTCGTATCAATCGATCTTCACATGAAATAATTGGCACTGAGAACGAAAATATTAAAATTAAATTTCAAATTTATCGATAATATCATTTTAAACTCTATGGGAAACCGATTATCGAGTTCGTTCAATGTTTGATTACAAGGCACATTCAAAGAGATTAGTTAATTTCTCATTAACTCAAAGTAATTATTGATTAGTAATTAGTGTTGGATTGGAGAGAAAACTATTATTAGTGAATGGAAATTAAATTTAAAGGTAATTACCTGTTTTCTTAGTTAAATTGTTTTCTATCAAAATGAGACCAGTGATTTTACCTGGAGAGACGTAAAAATTTTTCGATTGAATAATTGACGATTTACTTGAATCATTTTCACCCGAATCAGAGGTGAGAACATAATGATTATAAATGAAATGACCGCAAATAAAAACGTCCGCAGGCCATTTAATTTGTAAGTGTTTGATGGGCTCCGTTAGGTTATTCAATTCGAGGCCGAAAAATTGTTTTCCCTTTGCGGTGTAACCACGAATCACTGATGAACCAAAAGAGACCAGAATTTTGGGCGAAGATGAGGTTGACAGGCCACGAACAACTTGGACACTGGTTATCTTAGCATTTGGACCTGGAAGAGTTTTGAAAATGGTTGACACGGTCGTTGAGTCGTGTCGAAGTGAAAAACAACAAAGTGACCCTGAATGGTCACCAACAACTGCGACAATGGTCATATGATTATCGGATGAACCAGAATTTAACACTTTCAATGTATTGGGTGAGGTTAAACCAACTTGTAGATAATCAACTCGATTCAGTTTAAGGTCCATTTTGATTGTAGATCGAGTAACAAATTGAACACTTTGCAATTTCACCGATGTACCTAAAGGTCACAATTTCCTCTCTCTCTCTCTCTCCTTTAGGTCTGAAAATTTGCAAAAGAATGAAACAAAATCGAAAAAGTAAATTTACTGATTTACAATTAGTTGAGAAGAGAATATAAATTTCTTTGTTCTTACCATGGAAAACAATTGATTCCAATGTCGATTACCATAGTTACCGGTTAGAATTTTGGAGAAAACAAAGAAAAAATTTTCTTTTCTAATCGATTCCAATGTCCCAGTCTCTTTCTCTCTCATGTTTGTTGTTCCATCACAATGAATAGATTGAAATCTTTGCTTCTATTAATTGAGTTTTCTATTTATTACCTGACATTCATTAATTATTAACCATTGTTTACATTCACTATTAATTGATTAGGTTACAATGAGAAAAACAAAATCTTTGGTATATTCAGTATCTTCATATGTGTATTCATCTTCAGTATATTTAAATTACGGATGAAAATATTGAATGGACATCGAGAGACTAATTGAAAGTTAATTGTAACCAGAATGAGCTCAATGATGACCATACTGACCGGTAAATTGGCTTCATGGACCCATAGATAGTTGAATTAGAAGCTATTGAATCATTCGTAAGTTTAATGATCAAGCGAATGAGATTTGGAAAAGAAATGATTTTCAACACTTCGTTCACAGTTAATTACATCCAATTAACACAAACTGTTAACCATTGATACATTGTAGTAATCATTTAGTTAAAACTTACGAAAGTTGATCAACAATTAAAGGGTGTTAATTGTGGACAGTTAAACGAGAATTCAGACTAAAAGATGAGAAATTTGCTGACGAACATCGAACCGGTAACATTTGGGTTACCATGGGAGACGAAAAACAATTAGTTGATCATTTCTTTGATTTCTGATTGATTTTTAGGTAATTAGTCATCAATTAGATTCATTTGATAGTGAATTAAATACTGTTAATGGGAATCAACTGGGAAAGAGTTTGATTCTTTATGGATTAGGAAAGTTATCATTGTGGTTCGTAAAGGACGAAATGTCCAAATTTTTGTACGATCGGAAAGAAGAGGAAAAAGTTAATTGTTATTTTATGAAAAGAATAAATTTCAGGCTAATTGTTAAATCTTAATTTTGACTTGATTACAATCGTCAGCAATTTAAATCACAATCAAGCTTCATAAACAAATCGAGTTATTTTCACAATGATTTAGCTAATATTTGGTTAATTAGCTAATTAAATTGTCAACATTTGATTTTGATTCCTTACCTAATTTGATTTCTCTCTCTTTCTTTTATATCATTTAAATGATTAACTTTAATTGTCAAGGTTGCTCCAATTTCATTTCATGCCAAAAGGTGATCAAGACATTTTATGATTAGACAAAGTTAATTAGGTAATTAACTTTGATGATTTTAACTTAATCATTTACATTGGAAATTGGAAACAATGTTATTAGAGTTAATTGTGTATTGATTATTTAAAATTGAGCAATTAAAATTAGTGATTATCAAGTTTAAAGAAAACCCGGAAAAAAATTATTGACGAAATAATTAAAAGTAAATCAATTGGAGTTGAATTTATACTAACAATTAAAAATGAATTATGATTAAAGATGAAATCTATTGTGTGTCAATAACTTAATCTTAGTTATAATTAATTATTTCATCACCTTTAATCAATGAGTTGATCAATTGGTTTCTTTTTGCGAAACTGAATTCATCATAAAATTAATGAAACAATTGAAGTGAAACAATTAATTTACAATTTAAATGATCAAAAGGTGTAAATTTTGATATAGAGGGAGAGGAACAAGAATTAACCTCTTTTTTTGTGATATTAGATGATAATTAGTTAAATGGTTGACCAGTTAATTGGGTATCTCCAGCAATCAGAATTTTGGTATATAAATCGGTGTAACTTGTTGATCAAATATCAGTTCACTTTCAACAATCAATCAACAAACAATCAAATCAAAAACCTTTAAATTGTTCGATTTTCGTTCAAAATTCAATTCAATCTAAAAATGTTCACCAAATTTTCATCACTTTTCTTCGGTCTTGTCCTTATTGCTTTCGTTGCTCTTTTCGGTAAGTTAACAATTTAACAACCAGCTAATTACTGATGATCTTAAACATTTACTAATCGATTCATTTGCATTCCAGACTCAGCCAATGCTCGATATGGTGACAAAGGCGGTGGATCAATTGTTATCCTCGGTGGTCATGGTCAACCCTTCATGCCTTACCCAATGATGATGGGCGGTGGTGGATTTGGCGGTTTCGGTGGTTTCGGTGGTTTCGGAAGATAAATTCATCCAACCAAACATCATGTTACCTATACAGTAAAGAAAGAAAGAGAGAAAGTAAAAAAGAATCATCAGAATAATCCTCAAATTAAAACCAATCGCTTTTAATTGTAACAAGAGAACAGAAAAAAAAGAATAGAATTGACCAAAACATGTAACCAATATTGTTGACCAATAAAAGAATTTAAACCAAGTAAACTTACCATTATTCTTTCTTCTTGATCAACTTATTCTCAGATGCACAGAATAACATAAAAAAAACACAACAATCAAATGGTAGAAAATAACAATTAAACTAAAAGAGAATCAAATTGATTCAATCAATTGAAAAAATTTAATTTCTCTCATCGGGTCAACTTGTATTCTTTTAATTAACAGTCGCCAGATGGCGATAGTGTAAACGAAAACAATGGTTGCCATTGGTAACCGAGATTCGGATCAGCTGAAAGCAAATTTGTTTATAAATAAATTGTGATGATATTTATATTTATTTAATTTGACTATTTTATTATTATTATTTTGGCAGGAATTATGGTTCGTAAAAGTTTTCATACGGTTGTTGAAGGTTCAGTTAATTCACTGGCCACCAATAAGGATGCGAATCATGTTGTGGTTGCGGGACGAAATGTACTCAAAATGTTTGAGATTCGTGATGATCTTAATATGTTTGTTGAAAAGATTAACCTGAGAGTTGGTAAAAATCAGTTTAATTATAATACAAATGATATTTCCTGGTCTTGGTTAGACGAGAATCTATTGGCAACAGCGGCGACTAATGGAATGATTTATATTTGGAATGTCGAACGTAATACAAGAGGTAAAGTGGAGACTATTTTCACTGATCATCGGAGGACAGTTAATAAAATTTGTTTCCATCCGAGTGAAGTGACATTACTTTTATCTGGTTCGCAAGATGGAACAATGAAATTATTTGATTTACGTAAAAAAGAAGTGGTAACAACTTTTCATTCAATGTCGGAAAGTGTTCGTGATGTACAATTTTCCACTTTCCGTGAATCAGTTTTTTCTGCTGTTCAAGAAAATGGTAATGTACAAATTTGGGATTTAAGGAAAAATGATAAACCTGAAAGACAGTTTACTGCTCACAATGGACCAATTTATGCCTGTGATTGGCATCCAGAGGATAGGAAATGGTTTGCCACCGCTGGTCGGGATAATACAATTAAAGTTTGGGATCTGTCAAAGAAGCCAAATTGTTGTTATTGTATTCAAACAATGGCCTCTGTTGCTCGAGTTGTTTGGAGGCCAAATCGACGTAATAATATTGCCAGTTCATCTTTAAATGTTGACTTTTCGGTTTACGTTTGGGATATTGATCGTCCTTTTGTACCATTTGCCGCTTTTACCGAACATTCTGATATAACCACTGCCATACTTTGGAGAAATGATCCACATACATTAATTTCCGCCGGTAAAGATGCGATTCTTTATCAGCATTCATTCAAAGAAGCTCAAAGACCCGCTAGTCATGCAAACAATATCGGCCTTGATCTCAATATTCAGGGTGACGTTGCCTTGGCCATTTCTGATTACATCGTCTCCAAATCAAGTAAAGATACAAACTCATCCACCGGGAGTGGCGGAAGCGGTGGCGGTGGTAACAATGGCGGTGACTCGAAAAGTGAAACAAGCTCAACGAAACATGTACCAAAAGAACCGGCGATTATTCAAATGGGGAATTCAACCTTCTTTCCAAGTATGGCCTCGTATGCTCTTAACGCGGTTAACTCTAATACGAATATAAATTTTTCCACTTTTACTCCAGATAAAATGAATCCATTCAAGAAGAATTCTGATCTTACCGAAAAGTTTAAATGTTCATCTTCCTCTCTACGAATCTTTGGTAATACCAATGTAGAAAAATGTCTATCCATGGAATGGTTTGTTTCGACCGCTTTAAGGTACAAACTATTCGGTAAACCCTTTACCGAACTATGTGACCATAATGCTGAAGTTTCTAAAGAATTGAATCGATCTCAGGTTTCCCAGACTTGGAAGATTTTAAGGTTACTTTATTCATCGACAAAAATGGCTCAGAATAGTGGGTCAAGTGAAGTTCGACCTTTCGATTTATCCTCATCATCAGTTCTCGATCGACCTTTGGGAGAATCTAAATCTCGTCATGTTTCAAAGGGGACCAACAGCGGCGGTGGTGAGACTCGATCTGGAAGTGGAACTGAAAATCGTGTACCTTCAACTTCATCGATAAACTCATTACTATTAAATCCAATTGGAGGTTCTCGTTTATTCAACACCGGTGATTCAACATCATCTTCAACCACAATCTTAACACCAACAACCACCACAACTACTGCAACAACAATTAACCCAATCGATTTGTCAACAGAAAATATTATCAAAACTCCAGTTAATTGTGATACAAGTGATCATATAAACATTAACCTTAAACCATCAACAATAACCACAACAATTGATTCATCACCATCAGGAATTATTGATGATCAAAGTGGATTTTATTTTGAAAGTGAAGATCTTAGTAACTCAGTGACCAATTTTACCACCGATTTTGAGTTAACACCAACAACATCAACACTATTTGGTGGTCTTGATGGTAATCATTTGTTTACTGAATCATTCCGAACAATTAACGATAGTTACCTTCTTCCAGATTCATTTCTAAACAGTTCACATCATTCAGCTCACTCATTTCACAATCAACATCATTCCTCTAATCACCAACAAAGTAATAATAATCATCTACTTCACCACCAACCCTTTCATACTCAATTAGCTTCACACCTTCACCCTCATTCTCATCCCTCACATCTTCTTCATCCACATCAGCAACATTATCTTCATGAACCCGGTGGTATTGGTCTTGGTGGTTTATCAGATTACGATGATAATGATTCCCTTGACGGGATTTCCAAAGAAACTCACCATCGATTATCACTTGAAGATGATCCAATCGATGATCCTACCAAATATCTTCTAACCTCTAATTTACCACCTTTACCCACATGGAAATTCACTGACCTGGTCATTGAGATGTTACAAGATTATGCTAACAAAGGAGACATTCAAACAACCGTTTCCATGATGATAGTTCTCGGTGAGAGAGTCAAAAATTCACTGGATGAATCAATTCAAGAATTTTGGGTTCACTCATATATTGGTCAGTCTTTTTTTTCTGTTCAATTTTCTCTCAATTAAACAATTTGATTAATCTTTGTTTTCCTCAATTTTCTTTCAATTTCAACAGAACTATTAAGTCGATTCCAACTTTGGAACGTTGTTAATCAAATTATTCGAGCCTGTAATGTACCAAATATCAACAGTATTAATCAAACATCGACAACAATTTACACGAGTTGTGGTAAATGTCAAAAAGGTTCAGCATCCAAAGTTGGTTGGCTTTGTGATAAATGTAAATCTTTACCTTCCCAATGCTCAATATGGTAAGTTAATTGTAATTAGAAATTGATTCCAATTAGTATATTAATATATTGATGATGTTTATTAATTTTGTTCCCATTTTAGCCATGAAATTGTCAAAGGATTGTATATATGGTGTCAAGGTTGTTCTCATGGTGGTCATTTACAACATATCACTGAATGGTTGAAAATAAGTCGACACTGTCCATCAGGATGTGGTCATCAATGTGAATATACCTGAAGAAAACATATCAACATTTTCAATGGCGAAAGTTTTGTCAATAATTCACTTATTGCTTCATCCACATACAAATACATAATTATATTCATAATTATTATCACAATCAATTTATTATAATAATTATTATGGTTACTACTACAAGGAAACCCCTATTTTCATGAAGACAACATCCAACAATCGGAACTGAATTTGTTTACGTTAATTTTTTTTTCTCTCTCTCTCAAAGGAATCAAAGTACCGAGCAATTAACTAATTGTCTCGTCATTTTGTGTAATTTTTTTGTATCCAATTGTTTACACTACGTTTCCTAATTGATCATCAATCGTCTCTCATAAACGTCATCATCATCTTCATCAATTTCATCCTATCTTCTTGGGTTTTTCCTTGATAAAACTCTGCTAATTTACTATTATGTAATTAAGATGATGATGATGATTATATGATGATTATTTCTATTATTATGTAATAATAAACATAAACTCTCTCTCTCTCTCTTTCTCATGTTAATTGTTATTAATTGTTTCTAATTTCTTATTTGTTTAAATTTGCCTCTTTCTCTCTCTCTCTTTCAAATTCAATCCACAATTAAATCGAAATGAGCAAAAGTTTTCTTTCGGACACTAACAATCAACCATTCGAAACAATTACATATAAGATTCTCTTTCAATGATTAGTTAATTGAGTGATAATTTGCCGGAATCAACTACCAACTAATCAATATTTACATTGAGAAAACTCTTGAATGATTGAAGAGGTAGGAAGAAGCTTGAGATTAGATTTGAAAGGGAATATTGTTAATTACTCTACAATTAGATTCACTTTAATTACAATTAACTTGATTCCATGAATTAAGACTTGATAGTAATTGTATCAATTAATATATTTAATCAAAAGAGAAGAAAATTAAAAAAAAATTGTAATCTTTTAATCCATCATCGTGATTATATTAACTTTTTTTTTGTTTCTTCTTCTTCTAAATTGTGATTAGCTTAATTGCCTATTAATTTGTTAATTGCTAGTAATTTTTTTCATCATCTGATTAAACAAAAGGGTTAACTTTGTGAATCTCTCACTGTTTTAATTGTTGTTATGATTACCTGTTAATTGTTACTGTTTGATTTTAGGACTAATGGTTAATTGTATTTCCTATTATGGTTGTAATTATGATTATATTGTTGTTGTTGTTGTTGTCTTTGATGATGATGATTAACAATTAAGCTTAGGTGAATAAATTATTATCTCAACTGATCAGATTAGACTCTTTTTTTTCAACTTATTTCTTAATTATAAGCCGTAATTAGAAACACAATTAACTATTGCCAAGTAAATTACTCTGACTATTAATAGATTAAGGTAATAAATATTTTTCCATTGGTCATATAATCAAATATTAAATCAGTGATTATCCAATAATCCTAATCATCCTAATCAACTTATTTCTACCTGATAATTAGTTATCAGGTAAATGATAATTAAGAAAATCCCAAAGAGTTGAGTATTTCTCAATAGCAAGTGATCAATTTAACCTTCCCTTTTTTTAATTGTGATGCAAATCATCAACAATTAACAACTTCCTTTCATGATTATTGTTTCAAGTTGACTGAATTTCTTAGGAATTGTAACTTTGCTATTAATAAATGGTAAAAAACATTGACAACAATTAGAAATTCAATTTGATTACTTATAACAATTAACTCACAAGTGAACATAAAAATCTTGATTCCTTTTGTATAATAACATCAATTGATTTTCATTTTACAATCAAAATCTTATCAACTTGATAAATAATCATCACAATTAAGTTTTTCTTTGTTTCTATTTTAAATTGTGATAAAAAGTCTGACAATCAACTAATCATAATTGTTAATCATCTACAAATGGTAAGTAAATCAAATTCGTGGTCATTACTTTCCTTCCAATGGTCAATAGTGATTCTAATCAATTCAATTTGTTTTAATTGTTGATAAATATAAATAGTTTTAAGATCTAATCATTTATACATAAAAGTATATTAATATAATAATAAAACAATTAACTTAATCATACATTGATTAAGCTAATCACTAATTCACAAAGTGACATTTTCAATTTAATTTTTACATCAAATTATTCAATCTAATTACTAACGTTAATCAAGGTTAAGATTAATAGTTAATCAACAATTTATAATTATGTATGAAAAAAAATGTTAATCTACATCTTAATTATCCAAATATATAATAATATTCATTAATTAATCTTATCGTAATTAAGAGTATTTAATTGTGATTTAGTTTCTTCAGAATTTTTTACTTCTCGTCAACATTGATTAACTTTTTTTGCTGGTTAATTGTTGAAAAATTTACCTTGATAATGATAATGATGATGATTGTAAAGATTGTATATTAAATAAACATAAATACATAAGTGATTAACGTGACAATGAGACAAACAATTAGTTAATTCAATTTAATGATTGAAAACAAAGTCAATATCATCAAACACCAACCTGATATATATTTGATTTTGTATATGACAAAAAAAAACAGAATAATCAATAAATTGTTTCATCCAAATTGTTATATTGATTCAGCAGTTAAAACAGTAGTCGTTGGTTAAAATAGTTCATTTAGTCTCATCATCATCATCATCAATTAAAACATAAACAATCAATAAATTTACCTTTAATTTACCTCATTTAGTGACGACAATTTCCTTCGGGTGGTTAACTTTAACTTGTCGATTTTACCAGAAATTAAAACAATCAAAGTCTCTAAAAGTTTTCTTAAACTTTTTCTTTTAATTGTATCAAGTTAACAGTAACAATTAGAAAAAAAATACTTCCAATAATAAGAATCGTAAGTGATTAACAATCGGATTAAGATACTTTCAAGATAGATTAATCATCATTAGAAGCAATTAATCAACAATCAGGTTCTAATGATGAAAAAAAATATGAAACAATTGAACAAATCAAATCAATGAATTATATTTGCATCATCATCATGATTATTATTATATTATAACTTTGATTATAATCAATTTACCGGAAACATGGTTATAATCAGACAGAGAGATAAATTGTAATAATCATAAAAATTTTCTGTTGGTTAATAATATTGTAAAGATTAAAATTAGATTAACTAACAATTAAGAGTTTGATTAAGATTAAAGATCAACGAAAGGTTAACCTGTTTGAATATAAAGACAAACAAATTGTGAACATTTGATGGCAACGATTTTCGGTATTATGCTAATTGTTGTTAGTTAATTTAATTAGTGGTAATTTTTTGCATCATTTATGATCTGTAGACATAGTGAAGGGTGGGATTCCTACGGTGGTACTCATGGTGGTGGGAAGGGGAAGGAGTGGAAAGAGCCGAGGTTTTCTCTCTCTCTCTCTCTCCTCATCTTCCACCACAATGTCAATGGTAAATAATGATCATTGTTAACTCGATGTAATTAGTAAACTATCAACAATCAGGTTAACTTAATTTTCTGATTAACTTTTTTTTCTAAATACAATTTCATCTCTTTCTCTCTCTCTCTTGCTCCCTTGTCTTATCTTCCAATTTTTATTTCTCATCTTCTTCTTCTTAATCATCTTGATTAATTTAGTTGCATCTCTTTGACTTGTATCACTTTCGTTTACAATTGATGATAAATTTTCTGTCTTATTATTATGATTTCCAATGTGTATAAATTAACGACGTTAATTGTTATCATAATATAATCATAATTAATTAATTGTGACATTTTCTCTCTCTCTCTCTCTTTTCTCTGTGAATTATTAATTGTTTTCAATTACGAACATTAAATCAAATCAGCAAACTGGTATTCGAAGTCTTTGTCTACCTCATCCTTTTGTTTTCTAAAAAAAATCTTATTTTTTTTCTTCTTCTTTAATATTTTCTAATCTCTCTCTCTCTCCCTCTGTGTATTTGTGTCTTTCTTACCTGTTCATCTCTATGGATCAATAATCACCTTCACAATCAACACAATCACTTAATCACAATTAGTATACATGCTAACCAATAATAGTAAAAATTTAATTGTCACCACACTAGAAGGATTATCATCACCATGTGGATTACAACACCATCAACCTTTTTAACATTTCATAGTCCAATTGTCCGTAATAAAACAATAGAAGAGGTAAAATGATTTATAAATTGTTATTCCATCACAATTAACTAAACTAATTGTTCAATTTTCTCTCTCTTCGTATACATTTTTCCCCACTAATTAACACCAATAAATGGATCCAATCATCAATATTAATGATCCATCAGTGTCTTGCTGTTCGTGATTACCTAACCTATGAGGCGAGATGTGACTTTGTTCAAAACAATCACGATTGTAATACAACTTTATCGTTAATTGATTACAATCAATTCCTATTTTGTGGATTTGAACCTGAAAAAATTGCCTATGGAGTAATTATCTGTGTAAGTATTAAATCACTTTAATTATCCTTTAATTGTTTCACAGAGATACGATTAACTTAAACCTTGAGGTTTTCTTTTCCCAATATTTACCAAGTTAATTTGGTTCAATCTCTCTGATTACATATAACCTTTAATTGTTTTAATTGTTAACCCAAATTTAAATTAATCTACTGTTTTCATCCTAATCAACAGATTACCTGGGCTTTAGTACTATTTCTGGCCTTAGCTGTAACTGCCACCGATTTGTAAGTAATTAATTAAATGATCAGTTGATCAATTGATTAACTTTCTCATTTTATCCTCTTGAAAGACTGAAAATTAATTTCAATTAGTTAATTAATCTTACCCGAGAAAATTAATCTTGAGGTAGATTTAAAAATCTTCAACGTCTTGATAATATTACATATTCATCTTATTGATTAACCAAAACAATTAACTCTCATTTTATATTAGCACTGATTAAATTATATGTGTTCCTATCTAACAATTAAAATATCTCTTAATTAGGTTTACAATTAACACCTTAACAGTTATAATTACTATTCAACCCAATCATATATCCGATTAACTATTGAAAGTAATAAAAAAAAGTATATAAGATGAGAAGATAGATAATTAATTGTGTATATCAACAATTAGTGAAATAAAATGAAATCAAGCTAAAAGTAATAGAAATAGTGACAATCATAATTGTTGTCATTAAATTAAGATGTCATTACATAGTAACAATTAACTTACAATTGTCAACATTAATCAATTGAATGAATCAATGAATGAATGAAGGTAAAAAAAAGTAAGAGAGAGAAAAATTAATTCCCAATTAAATTGATCCATCAAGATAGTGATTAATGAAATTAATTACTGTTAATCGTAACCATAAATTAAGAGCAATTAGTTAATCAAAAAGCTCAATGTACTTTTCCATGATTGAAATAATCCACACATTTAATCCTAATCAACAATCAATACAACAACCAAAGTATTTCAATAATAGTAAATAATTCAAGTTCATTGATCAAATTGCGACAAAAAAAAAACACAATTGAAATTAAATTGTCTGAAAAGGAGGACTAATCAACTTAATTGCTTCTTAATTGCTCTTTAGCCTCTGTCCAGCTCTGTTTTTAATATCAAAAATTTTGGGTCTATCTCAAGACGTTGCCGGTGTAACATTAGTCGCTTTCGGCAATGGGTCAGTCGATATATTTGCCGCTATAACGGGAATGAGACAAGGAAGACCTGACCTGGTTATCGGTGACCTTCTAGGTGAGTAAATTTGACTCTAATTAGAGTAAATAAACAATGAATTGATTGTTAATTGTTATCGTTACCTTCTTCTATTATTACTGTTATGTTTTACTAATTAGGTGGTGGCATGTTTGTATTACTTTTTGTCATTGGAACTTTATTTTCAATCAAACCATTTAAATTGTTGCCAATTCCATTTATAAGAGATTTAATTTTTTACTTCATTGGTGTTACATGGATATTTTATTTATTCATAGTAATTAAATGTGTCCGAATCTATGATGCTGTAGGTAAGTTGAGTTGACCAAGATTCGAGTTGATTTCAATTTCTCTAATCATCAACAATTAACTGTCAACAATTATATCTCTTATATTAGGACTTTTAATCCTCTATGTTGTTTACGTTGCAACGGTAATAATTATCGGCAGATTTGATAAAACTCCCGGCGGAGGATTTGGTCATGGACGTGAGTATATAAACTAATCAATCTTAATTGTCAACTTGCAAACAATTTGATTGATTGCAAAATATTTCATTGAATAGTTAACATATTGATATAAATATTGTTCAATCACAATGTTTACATTTGTAGGTTTGATTACAATCAAGTTAATTATTACAAACAAACTGAATATCTATTTGATTTCAATAATAACTTTTTCCCTTATGAGAAAATGTTTTTTTTAATTCATTTTTTTCCCTCTTCTATTTACCCTTTTACAACACCATGTAAACATAATCACCATCATCGTTGATTCAATTGATTGTTTTCAATTTAATGCTGTTGATTTTGTACAATTTGTCTGAATATTTGAACAATTAGATGGCCATGGCCGTGATTCCGAGGATGAAGGGATTACATTTGAAGGGATTACTCCTGACATTGATCCAAATGAAAACATGGTTGTCATGAAGGGTTTTGTCATGATTAGTGATAAACCGGCACCACCACCACCCCCTCGGAATACAGATTATCCAACGATATTGAAACCGTCAAATTTACCCGCCATCATACCGATAATCAAGATAAATAATGAAGATTCAAAGAGCGAGCTCTCAATCGGCGGTGGTGAATCTCAGATGAGGAAAAAATCACCGAGTAGAGTTTCAATCTTCGAAGGTAATTAACTAATCAATATTAAACCTTTTTCTCTATTTTCATGGGGAAAATTATTAATATAATTTCGATGATTAAGACGATGCAGATAAATCTTGTATTCCAAATAATCGATGATGATATTTCGATTATCCTTTTATTTCATTTTGATCTTTAGACTGTCATTTATATTCTTCGATTGTAATTGAATATTGATTCATAATAACTTGATGATTTTGGAATTTTCTTTTCTTATATTTGATAGATAATTCGGTTTACAGTACGGTGACTAGTGTGAACGATGTTTATGCGACTCGAAGTTCACGTCGATCACGAGCATCGAGTATCTTTTCAATTAGTCAAACTCAAATTCTTCAAATAAGACGAGCATCTCGAGAATTTTTGGAAAGAATTACTCCAATCGATGTGATGACATGGAAAAGGCAAAATTGGGGATTTCGAACTCTCGAAATAATCAAGGTAAATCGAACGATAAAAAAAGATCAGATCAATCAACTAACTTGATTCTTTTCAATAAACCAACAATTAAGTCACCAATTCGATTGTTCTTGTTATTAACAACTCCAATGGCCGATGTCGAGGATAAAGGCGAATGGAACAAAATTTTAAGTGCCTTGCATTGTGTCACTGGTCCTTTATTTGTCGTCTTCGCTCTAGGATGTAAGTGTTTTTTTTTCTCGAAATTTTCTCTCGAAATGTTTGATTTAATTTATTTTCTAATCTTAAGATGGAGGAACTTGGATTGGGCATTATATTCCCGTCGCGTTGATTGTTTTCGTAGCCGCTGCTCTATTAGCGGTCTTGTTAATTTGTAAATCACATTTCGAAACAGCTCCTCGTTATTATAAAAACTATTCCGCTTGTTTAGCGTTTATTGTTGGTGTTACCTGGATTTATACGATTGCCAACGAATGTGTATCAATAATCAGGGTTGGTATTAGCAGGGAAATCGACAGCATCGACATTGAACTAAACTCTTTGATAATATCATTTGTTTCCTCTCGATCTCGATTAGACTTTGGGTGTTGCTTTCGGTATTTCAGAAATCGCCGTTGGAATGACCATTCTTGCCGTTGGTAATTGTTTCCTTGATTTTGTCGCAAACGTTGCAATAACCAAACGAGGCTACCCAAGGATGGCTGTTGGTGCTTGTATTGGTGCTCCTCTTTTATGTAAGTGATTAAATAGTTATTACCAATTCTGAATTGTTTATCTCAATGTGGGTAAACTTTTCCGACAAACAAAAAACGATAATACATTTCCTTGTTTACTCACAATTGTGAATAATTAACTCATCTAAATTTAATTTAATCAGCTCTTCTAATTGGTGTTGGAATCCCGACAACATTAAAAATAGCTCCAGATCCATCATCCGTAATTCCGGTAAGATTTAACCATCGACAATTAATAAGATCAACAACAATTAATCACTTCTATTTCTCTATCTAATTTTCAGCTCGAACCTTCCGTCCTAATTGTTGTCATTTATGTTGCTCTTAGTGCGACAATTTGGTTAACCATAATCGTGACAATTATTTTAAAATTTCGAGCTACTCGGCCCTATGGAATATTCTTGGTCACTCTTTACGTCCTTTTACTCATTCTCGTATTTCTTGTTGAAAAGAAAGTAATTGTGATTCCACTTTTCGATTAACAACAATTTAGAATAATCATCAGAAATTTAATTTACTTGATTTGATCAAGACCAATCCAATGTCCATCCAATTGGTCAACACTTGATTTCGTCCAATTTACAATGTATCAAAATCGATAACCAAACAACTTTATTATTATTATTTCGTTATTGATTGGGAAGGGGAAAATAATAATATTCTTGTATTATAATTGTCAAAATTTCCCATTGATTAGAATAAGCCTGATGAATGACAATTTGGTTGGATCGCAATCAAATTTGGACTCACTTAAATTCCTATCGATTTCCTTTTCCGCAATTTCTTTATCATCTTACTTTATATTATCTCTCTCTCTCTCTCTCTCATCATATTTTTACAATTTAATGACTAATTAACATTGTTAAATCATCTTTTTTGTTTTTCTCTGTAAATTGTTAGCATCATCAATGCAAAATCTCATATTGTTTTTATTAATTTCTTTTGAAACAAATGCTATTTAATTACAATTATATTTCATCCTCTTAATTGTATCTATATATATTTGTATACAATTAAGGAATGGATTATTTTGAAATTTTACCTTGAGGGTAAATTGTTGGTAAAATGGTTTATCAAATGGTTAACAATTTAAACGTGAAACATTTTTTGATCAAGTTTAATTGTGGAAAAGTTTTCCTAATGTATTTTTGTTTTAACTGGTCAAGAGAAATTCAATTCAATTGTTTCAATAATAATCTAAATTATCAATTGATTTATAATATTTGATCATCTGATAGATCCAACCAATGAAATGATCAGTTTGAATGTAAATACCAGGTTGTTGTGGTCTTGCACATCCATGTCCAGATGAGATGACACCAATTAGATTCCAACGTCCATCTACCTGGATGACCAGTGGTCCACCTGAATCACCTTGACAAGCATCTTTACCACCCTGATAGTAACCAGCACACAACCACGAAGGGTGCAAACCTCTGGTCCTTAACCAGTAAGTACACTGAGTTCGTGTTAATATCGGTAAGTTGACATGGTTCAGACTTTTGGGTCGAAAAGTTGATTTCTCACCCAATGCGCCCCATCCGATTGCAATGGCCATTTGTCCAGCGTAAGATGAGTCACTTTGATCATTATAATCACGATATGAGGGTAAACAAATGGGAGAAATGTCATCATCATAAGTGACCGGATCTTCAAATTGGATAAGTGCAATATCATCAGTGAACTTTGGGTGGACATAATATGGATGCCAGATAAACATCGAAGGACGGATAACTTTTTTACCATAAGGATAAAGATCATTTGGTCCAATGTGAAGTCGAAAATTTTGAGGATTTTGTCCATAAACACAATGAGCCGCAGTTATCGCCCAAGAGGGTTCGATTAATGTACCACCACAGTGGTGACGGTGTTGACCTGTTGTAAAGTTTAATCGTTGAATTGAAATCATCCAAGGCCAAGATCGAGGTTGAGAAATTGATCCACCCACAATGCGACCTTCTAAAAAAGGTTCAGAGGTCAAATTTTCATAACTAAGCCCACAAGATGAGACATTTGAAGTAATTATTACAATTAAAAACACCAAGAGAAACACATAACTAACAATAGACATGATTGACCGTCTCAACCATTGGGAGAGAAAAAAAATCTAAATCAACATTGAGAATTGATCATCTTTCACATTTTAAATGGTTTCTAAGTATCGAACTTTTTTTCCACCATCAATTTATTTTAATCCGATTATCAGCTGATCTTTGGATACCTAGGAGGCTATTTGAGAAGATCGTTAGAGGTCAAATGCAAAAGAAGGGAAAAAGTCGATAGAATTTAGATTTTGATAAATTCCCAAGTAAAGGTTAATATTATTGCAAGAGAGTTTTTCTTGAACATTTATGATTATGATTTCTTATCTACAAATAATAGAATAATCAGTTGATTTTAATTACAAAACAGATTTAAGAATTAATCATCATCGTGGTGGCGTTTATCCTTAATTCTTTTCGATTTTGATTTCGCTTTGTCCATGGTCATTTTTCTTTCCAAATTCATTCGTCGATTAGCTTTAGCTTCTTTTATCTGTTTGTTGACTTTCATTTTTCGCTTCTCTTTTTTCAGAGCTTTTCCTCGTTCTTTCAATTTTTTAACATTTTCATGCATTTTACGATTAATTTTGGGTAGTACGATCGGCTCATCTTCTCTGAATGGTTTGGCCTTAACACCCATGTAGGTTAAATCTTCATCAGGAATATCGGTAGCATCGGTGTGATCTTCTTCATCGTACTTGAAATCCCCATTGTTACGCTTCTTTCTTACAGCAGATAAATTTTCAATGGAAAATTCAACAATTGGTCTTCTATGAGTGGTGAAAATTTCAGGATTATTGTTTAATCGTCGTAAACATTGAAGTGCATCGCAATGTCGTTTGAATGTAACAAAACCAAATCCAGTTCCTTTTGTTAGTTTATCCTTTTTAACATTTCGTATAACTTTCGACTAGTGAAGTAAATAGATGAAAATTTTAGAATTAGAAAAATTAAGTCAAAATATTCAGTTGATTTAGATATAAATACCTCGGTAATCACGGCATTCTCATTATCGATAACACCAAGACATAGTTTTCTAAGCTTTAAGTCACCAAGATTTTCGGGAATATTATGGAAACAAAGACGATTACGAGAGACAAAATTACCAAGTTTCTGTAGTTTAGCTCGTTTAACCATCTCACACTGTAAGAAATTAGAAAAACAAAAAGGTCAAGTTAATAATTTATGATGAGCGAGTGAAAATCTGATATTATCTTACCTGTAGTCTTCTTGCCAAATCATTTTGACTGACCTCTTCAGCGGCTGGAGAATCGGGATAAATGAGACCTTCCTTGGCCAGGTAAAGGTTCCTCTTATCACGGAATTTGGTTATTTTCCTCTTTGAAATTTCAGCGGCTCGACTTTTGGTAAGGGCGAGAAAAACTTCAATTTTTCTTCCTTGAATTCTAAATTTACCAGGATTGAGTTTAAATGTTTCTAAACATTTCTCGGCATCTTCTTTGTTAACAAATTTAGCGAAAGCGGTACCTCTGGGATGACCGAATTCATCTTTACAGAGAACACAATATTCTGTAGTACCAAATCCGTTGAAAAATTCGGTTAAATCTTCCTTATTACAATCGAATGGAAGATTTTTAATGAAGACAGTTTTACCTTCGCGACAATCACGTGTACCTTTTCTTGGTTTTTTCACTTTCTTTGGAGAATCATCAATTTCTTCATCTGAAGACATCGTTTTACTACGTATTTGTTAACCGAATGTAATGGAGACACAAATACAGAATATAGTAATTAAAAAAAGGAATACACTAATCAATTGTAACAAGAAAATTAATCACAATTAAGCTTAAAACGAAAATCAAAAAATCAAAACAAGAAAAATCAACCACATGCTGAAAGAACACGAATAAAGTTTGGTTCTAATAGATGGCGGCACTTGTATTCTTTTGCATTTTAAATTTGTCACTTTGGTTTGATTGAGAGGATTAAAGTGACTTTTGAATTGTTTTGGTCAATATTGATAAATGATACGAACTGATTTGTTTTGTAACAACAGAATAAATAATATTTAATAAGTTAATAAGTTAATAAGATAATCATTCAGCTTCATTACAATTGGAATAAACTTTGGCACAATCTTCATTGTTGCGACCTTTTCGAACAGCCTCATAACTTGATGTCGATGGAATTGACTTTTGTTGTTGTAACAAATAACTGGAAGCATAACTAATATTGAAAGAGAGAAGAGAAAATAAATAATCATGAGAATTTAGAAGAAAAATAAAAACAAAAAGTAAAAGAAAAGAAAAGAAAAGTAAATGTAATAATCGACCCTTACCCTCCGACCTGAGAAACAATATAACCGAGTTCACGTCCTTCTCTTATCGCTTCTTTTGACGATTCACATAAATGTCGTTGAGCACATTGATCATCATCACTCGAAAGAACCGACTTGACGTATCCCCGTAACATGGTAACTCCAGCAATCGACGCATCATCAACGGCTTCTTTGAATCCTCTGGATGAACTTCGTGATCTTTGACTGAATGAGTTGCGAATCAAATCAAGAGCCTTTGGAGTAGTTGGGAAAAGAAGAAGATTATTAGAAGAGGAAGAAGAGGAAGAAGAGGAAGAAGAGAAAGGAAAAGACGAAGAAAGAAATTAACCAATGATCAACTTACTTGTACGAGAACATTTAGAACTTGTCTTGATGTCGCTGCACTTTCTTCACTTGATCCGAATAATAATTTAATTACAGTTTTGAATAGATTTCGAGTTGAAATGAACGATTGAATATCTTTTTTACTTTGTTCGAATCGACCAAGTTTGGTTGTGGAAACAGATGAAGATGGAGATTGAGATTGAGATGATTGAAGTGATGAAGATGATGGAGATGATGATGAATTATCACCAACTACAAAACCAATGAAAAAAACTGAACAAATTAAGACAATACCGGTGACTTTCATTTTCTCTTGAATTTTATTCCAAATCAAATCTCAAATATAAATTGTCAACTAACTAACTAAATAAATAAGTAAATCAAGTATTTGTAAAGAGACACTAAATTAAACTGAATCTCAATGAATGAGACAAAATAAGAAACAAGAAATTTGTCAGAATGTTAATTTATCCGGTCACTAGGAAGTACTGTTACTCTAACTACTTGATGATGGGGCTCCTTATCCTCATCCTCATCATCTTCTTCTTCTTCTTCATCATTATCATTATAATCAACAGGTAACATAAGATGAAGATAAGATGATGATTAAAACCCAAGGAGGTTCCTGAACCAGTTTCCTTATTGAAGAATCACAAAAAAAAGATAAATGAAAAGCGAGAAAAGTCAAGTTACCGTGAACTTGAAGATCCATCATCATGTTTAAAGTCGTAGCCCGTTTATCGGTTTGGGTTCAGGATAAATGAATTTGAAGAAAAAACTATTCCACATGAAAAACAGAAATTAACAAAACAAGAAAATTCTGAAGAACAACAAATAAGAATATAAAAAGAAAAAAAGATAAATAATCAAAAGAGGAAGAAGAACTAAATCTAAGCATTCAAAGATACATGATCAACTGGTAGAATCATTTAGTTATAATTGAAAAGACTTAAGAAGAACATTAAGAAAATAGTAAGCAAATCAGATCTTTCAGCTTTTAATTGATCGAGACGAGACATCGCCAGGTATGTCAATGATTCTCATTTCCAAAGTAACTTAAAATACGAAAAATATAGAACCATCTAAGATTCGAAATTCTAGAAATTTTCTTCAAATAGAAAAAAATCCTAGAAAATGATCATCGTGTTTAACATTAATCATAACAATTAACTCAACCTATTCGGAAAAAAAGGTTAGACTGAAATTTAATTTCAATTTATCTCAAAAACGGCTCGATCAATTTTAACGGCCTTTTGTCTACGGAAGGAACAGTCCCATCAATTTCTAGATGAAATTTCAAAGGATTAGTTAGTTTATTAGTGAACATGGATAAGAAAATTTTGCGAACATGCGAAGGAGAATGTACATTAAATTTCAGTTAAGGGTTAACGACAAACGATCAATCAATCGATTCATATCATCATGATCCTTGTAATAAAATTATTTCTTTTCGCCGTTTATCAAAAACATGGAACAGATCTAATATGGATAATACAGTCGTGATTTCAGTAGCTAAGTTGCGCGAATGATTAAAAACCATTTGAAACTCATTTTTCATGACTGTATAAACATCTCGTCTCTTTGGAAAGAACGATATGGAGATAAAAATAGAGATGAAGATAAAGATGAAGATGGAGATAAAGGTGAAATAAAGGCCTGCCAAAACCCGATGGTTGCCGAGAAAACTGGCCTGAAAGATTGCGATCAATCAAGGTCGTGGATCATAGTAGTGTAAAAAAGAAAGTGTTATTTGTAAATATGCAATCAACTTCTACGAGTTGTCGATAAATGATTTGTGTAAGCTGCCCGTGACATTGGATATTGTGAGAGTAGGAGAATTGCAAGAAATATTTTTGACTACTAACAAAGCAGAAATCGTGTTCTAGAGACCGCGAGATTCTGTTATGCACAAGGATATCAATCGAACGTGAAGAGAAACCCTTTGATTGACTATTGACAAAGCAGAAATCTTATGCTAGAGACCGTTCCGAAACCGTCTTACATCTGAATCTGACACATATATAGTTCTGACAGATAACATTCGTCGTTCTGATTAAATGGAATGATGTCAAAAGTAATCTCATTGGAAATTCATTTATTTAATCAAAAAAACATTCAATCTTAATGTTTTCCGCATAATGCCGGATAAAATTACTGGCAATAGTCTTTGCTCTTCTTTGGTAACGACTCCGCTTCGTAACTTTATGGTGCGAGACCCCTGGCAGTGAACAACAGTCATTGGATTTCTCTGGACATTCACCTGTTGGCTTGCTGAAACAATCGTGTATCCCAGGGTAAGGATGGTGGAACCGAGGTTTATTAGCACAAGGCAACGTCGGAAAAACTCTAATACAGCTCGTGTGTGCTTTGAATTTTTCTCTCAATTTTTGTTTGACTTCAGTCAAACTCGTTGATTGAATCATGTCCTTTTATGTTGATGACAAAATGTTTCTCTACCAAACCACCAGCATATACATATTTTACAACCCTCACAAATGGGTTCTTTCGGACAACAACTCTCATTTGTGGATCTTCCAATGGATAACTCATGTTAATGTAAGAAAAAAGAACAAGACAAGACAAAACAAAATAAGTAGCAAAAATATGTATAAAGAACTAGACACCAAAAAATGAACGAATAAAGTTTCAGAGTGAATATAACTGCCTAACAAGAAAACTATTCAGTTTTATAGTTAATTTATCTATTTTACAGGGCGTTTTTTTATCCACTATGGCTATTACACTGAATATCTCCAGAACTAAAAGTCATATGAATGTGAGACTTGACCAGAGGACTAGGTCGTCGTGTGAAAGAGCACAAAAAGTTACACTCAAACCTAAGGTTTGATGATATTCCGTCAAAAGGCAGCTGAGATACAGGCTTTTCTTATAAACTTAACTCTTGAAGTGTTTTTAGATTGAAACATGCCTATCTTCTAATCCGTTCATCACAGACAGTTCAAAGTAAAATCTGAGGTGTGATTTGATTTGCTCTTTCACACGACGACCTTAAAATGACCTTTAAATGCTACCTTCGTTAAATGACCTCAATGACCTTGAAAATCGTAGGGTCGAGCGCTTCAATTCTGTTTAGTCCTCTGGTCAAGTCTCACATTCATATGACTTTTAGTTCTGGAGATATTCAGTGTAATAGCCGTAGTGGATAAAAAACGCCCTGTACTTCAAACCCTGATCATGAGGGGATAACAATTTACTCTCTTTCGATAATTTCGCATGTGACAATCATTGATAATGATTAGATGCCGGATTAAAATACTTCAGGGTTTAATCTGTGATATCTCATAATCTTAAAAATAAAAACTGTGACAGACAGGTGATCTTTATTGATTGGCCAGTTTCAAGTAGAGCATATACAATCATATCCTCAATGACGAAAGAGCAAAAAACGATAAGAAAGTTATGTTCAGAAAAAAAGTTGCTGAGCATTTTTTGATATTTTCGTGCCAAAGTCGCGATTAGTTACTTGATAATCAATCATTTGGCTTATGAGGCAAACACGATTAGTTCATCATCAGTTACTACCCGAATACCACGACCGACAGAACCGTTGGTATGTCCATCAAAGACTCTTTGACTCTTTGGATCATTTTCCATTGCTTCTAGCGTATGATCTTAACTCCTTATACAACAGTCAAGTACAAATCAAGTCAAATTCTTGAAAAAATCGTGTACAGATCTTGTACAATTTGTTGATATGTTATAAAGATAAAAACGATCTGGGAAAATGATCAAGTACAAATCAACCTGGATTTTGGATTTAGAAAATTTCATTTTTCACAGGGTAGAAGTTGCATAGGAAAAACTGATGAACCATTATACATTGTACATTGAATTTGTTAATTTTTGGAACTGAACCCGTGTTTCAATGACCCTCAGCTTAGAAACAAGAAGACATATTTAGGGATACAAAAGTTGGTAGAGAAATTGCAACTCTGAAAATTAAAACAAAAGTTTGAAATTACAAAGGCAAAAATAAAAATACTATTCCATATTCGACATTGTGTTTTCGAATAGTTGTTTTTGCGATGTAGATATGTATTTGCGTTTTGATGATGAATACAATACAAATGATTACCAGTGACAATTTCGAGCCACTAATTTACCTTGATTAAATAGAATGAAACTGAAGGCAAGAATTTAACTTCGTTATAGACTTGCATTGCTTTTCCTCAGTGCATGTGATTAATTTTTTTCTCATAATAGTTCAATGTAAATGACTACCATAGAACTGTCCATGCAACTTGTCAGGGTAAAAAGTATCTATTCACCTGTATAGATACTTATTGATAGATTTTTAATATGAGTTTTAGTAATAACTTGAATGTAAATGATTACCATAGAACATCCTAAAGCGAAAAAAGGAACTCAAAAGAATAGAATAATACTAACCATGAGAATCTAACTTGGTTCTAGCCTCTGCTTTCTTTTTCTGCTCTCTCATCATCTCAACATACAGATTTACCATAGAGAATTTTTTGAACTGCAAAAATTAACCATTTTCGAAGAGATGGATTTGACTATTAGCTTCTACATACGCTCTGGTTATAATTTACGAGTAAACTCATCCAAATTATTAACATTGAAATGAAAATTTCATTATTTCGTTAGACAGTTAATGCATTAGTTCAAACTAAGCTGACACGAAAATTGTAAAAAAAGAAATATGGCTTAATTGCAGTTAGATTATTCAATATTGAATCTTAAATTTTATTTGTCATTGTGAAGTTACAGGCAGTTAATCAAAAGCGCAGACATGCAATCAGTACTTAACTAATTAAAACAAAAATTAGTTTTTTACACAAAAATGTCTATTGGTTCGCTTTCGGCATTCCATCCATTGTAATATATGTTTGTTTCTCTTTGGATTTTTTCCTGCATGTAAACATATAGATCCTCTGCAAGTAAACATAATAGCATCCTATGTTTGACCACACAGTCCCGAGCTTCATTCGTTGTCATGAATACAGCTCCACACATCGAGCACGGAAATCGAACCTGAGGTGTAAATGATTGTATAATGAGCCTGTTTCTTCGAAGAAATTCACAGTCACAATTTCTGGTTGGAGCACAAGAAACACATCTAGATCCATGAATGGCAGAATGAACCATGTTGATAGTTAAAGTAAATTATATTTTGTCTTTGAGATTTTCTCACTTATATATACAATTTCATCGATAAGAATAGTCTGTGAGCACATCCCTCTATCTAGTATCTTATCCAGATAACAAACAAAGATTCACGATCAATTATTAATAACATCTATCTTTAATTACAATCTGCATTCATGCAAGAAATAGTTTGAGTTTCATTCTTGAATCACTTTTTATTTTCCCACCATATCAAAATAAGCAATAAAAATTGACTATCTTTCATTACAATGATTTATGTCTTTTCGTTGCATCGAACTCCATCTATAATTGATATTGGAATTATAATTATATATCCCTTCTTTTCTCTCATCACCACAACATGAGTAAATATCATTTATTGTTTTGATTGTTAAAGCATCATTCACACATTTGATCTGAAATGATTAATTTTTCCTCGTTCAATTGAACATCGATGATGGATTAGATTTCATTCTCGCATGGCTGTGTCTTGTATCATTATCTTAATACGCGCAAATAGTTTGACTATTTTTAATTTCAAATATTTTAATCCATTGCATTAAATTGTGCATTCATGATAATCCCTGGAGATCCATCCCTGAATCTCTTTTTGCAATAGCTTAATACGAGCAAGTACATCGAATATTTGCTGAAAATCTTCTTTGCAATAAATTTATCATAACGTACATTGCAAAGCTCATAGAAACCTCAAAACTTGTCAGTAGTATCTCTAAATATTCTTCTTCGTAGAATCACCTTCAGATGACCTTGAAACGTGTTA